TCACCGGAGCCAGGACACAACTTGAGACGGAAGGTTGCCAAGAGTATAAATGTTTGCGGGTTAGTATGCCCCCCCCCCCCCCCCGAATTACGCTTCTCAGAAGCGACTATGCACGGACTCCAAAAACTGGCCCACCGTTGGAGACTCACGGCGTGCTGAACTTCAGGAATCTGGGATGGGTGGAGTCTGCGCTCCTGGGCGCGCGCAACCTCCGTGGATTTCGGCGCGCAGGATAAAAAACTTAAAGGCCGTCTTCCAGGAGGATGCGTCGGCTGCGATCACAGTGAAACTGCTGCTGCCACCCCTCTGGCGGGGACCCGGGGGCCGCCTTGCCCGAAGAGGCAGCTCCTGCCTCTGGGGGCTGACGGCCAATAGGGACCTGGATCGTTCGCCCTCTCCACGCGCAACTCCCGCTGGCTCGCGCCCGCCAGCTCCCGAGGCAGCGGCGCGACGCTGTGAGGGCGCCTTGGCGATGGGGGCCTTGGCAACTGGCGCGGCGCCACCTGCTGCGCCTCCTGGGACGGCTGCTGCTGGCGCTGAAGGCTGACTGAACGGCGTGGTGAGTCGCTGGAATGCGTTGCTCAGCTCGGTCTGGCTGTCAGAGGCCATGGCGCCGACCTTCCGTTCAACCGCTGCCAATAATTCTGCGGCAGGTGTATCGTCAATCATAACTTTGGCTTCGGGCTCCTGCGATGTGGCTGCAGCTGTTCCTGCTGCGCCCTCTGCCTTCTTCGCCTCGCCAATATTGGCAAGGGTATCCTCGATGGCTGCTTGTTCTTGTTGTGCAAGCTTCTCCTGCTGCTCGAGACGAGATGCTGGCGAGCATTGACCACAGCGAGTTGATGGAGTCGTAGTTGTTTTTCAAGTCGTTCGAGCTGCTTCTGGTGCTTGATGCGTTTGTTGAGGGCCTGCTGTAGCTGGGCACTGATCGGCTTGGCCGCCATCCGTGCATCTCGCATGGTCTGGAGCGAGTTCTCCAAGGTTCGCTGGGCATGCTCTCCGCGTTCTCCAAGCTTTCGCATGATGTCGAGAGCCTGCTGGCAGACCTGGATAGCTGGCCCGTGATGGCAGGGGGGAGGGGGGGCTGGAACCGATCCTTGCCCACCATCCACCTGCATGGGGCCGTTTCCCGCTGTTGCCGTACCCATGGGCTAAGGTGGGGCAGCCAGCCGGGAAGTCTGTTCCCACTTCTTACCCTCCAGCGCCGTCGAGCTGACCTCCTCGTTTCCTTCCTTTAGCCTTGGACTTCGGTGACTTTTCATCTCCAGTAGTCGTCGTCTTCTTGCCTGTGTAATGTTCGCCGCAGCGCCAACACCAAGACAGGTTCCAAGATACTGAGGCATCGCAGCACTTGCAAAGCCAGCTGTGCACCTTGAGAAACGCACTCTTGATCCAGGGCCTGCGCCAAGACATGGCGCAAGGCGACAAAACCGGAATGTAATCTTGTTGGTTCGCCTGCAAATGCAGGAACAATGAATTGGGGCCCAGGTTGCGCCAACCACCTTGAGACAAAACAACTTGAGCCAGGCTACGGACCTCCTCCTTCTCCTCCTCCTTTTTCCCTCTCCTCCTCGTCCTCCTCGTCCTCCTCCTCCTCCTGCTCCTCCTGCTCCTCCTGCTCTTGCTCCTCATCCTCCTCCTCCTCCTCCTCCTCCTCCTCCTCCTCCTCCCCCCCCTCCCCCCCCTCCTCCTCCTCCTCCTCCTCCTCCTCCTCCTCCTCCTCCTCCTCCTCCTCCTCCTCCTCCTCCTCCTCCGCTTCCCGGCGCTGGGCCGCGCTCCTCGGGGGCTGACTCGGGCCGCGGCCCGGCGGGCCAGCAGCCCCCGCGGCCGCGCGCGCGCCGCACGGCCCGCGGGCCTGAGCCCGAGGAGCGGGGCGCGCCCGCGGGTCTCCACGCGCGGGCCACGGCGCTCTGCGAGCGGGCGCAGCTGCTCGCGCGCGTCGTCGCCTGGAAACGGCCCGTGCGCAGAGCGCAGACTACGGTCAACAATGACAGTGAGGATGAGCGGCTGTCCAGGGGGTACCCTTGCATCCTTGCCTCTTCGGCCATCTTCGTGCCATCCTTAGCCACTTTCGATGGCCGCGCCCCGCTCGATTTCCCCGGCATGGTCGTCCAAGGCCCTTGCATCCTTATCGCGCATCCTTACCATCAGTTTTGACATTACGACTACACGCGCGCACTGCAAGACGAAGGGCTCGATCGATTGGGGGTCGATGCGTCCCCCCTGAGCTGGCCCCCCCCCCAACGATGCCCCTGAAAGATGGTCTCGCACACCCTCAGCCCTGCTCTTCTCTGCGATGCGCTCCAGACACTCTTGCGGAGGTCAACGATGAGACGAGCTCAAGACGAGTGTGCCGCCTCGTCTGAGAAGGCCTCCCAGATGGGGCCCGAGGCGATGGGGTCAGAGAAGAGGATCGCGCCCGCATGGGCTGACGCATCGCCAAGGCATCGGCGTGGAGAAACTCTGCCTCCACATCGAGCCGCATCGTCGATGCATCGTCGATCATTCGCGCCCTGGCGCCCGGGTGGGGTGGGGGGCCCGAGCTTCGCCCAAGGGGAGGGCGCGCTGGGCCAGCCGCCGAGGGCCCGCCCCACAAAAGACAAGCTGGGGGGGGGTGGGGCCCTCGAGAGCGCGCCAAAGGGGGCCTCGGGCGTCGGCGTCGCCCCCCCGCGCACACCATCCGACGGTGTGTCTGTTCCAGTGCGCAGCCGCAAAAGTTGGCTCCAGGGCAGCGCAATATAAGTCGGCCTGCGGCCGGTGGCGCGTGGCCTCGCTCATGGGCCAAGCCGCATCCGGCGCGATCCAGCACACACTGCACGAACGAATTGCGCACATCTTTGCAGGCCCGCTTTGCTAAGGACCCATTCCCCCGAACCTGAGACAGTGCCGACCCCCTCCCCAGATCCACGATGCACTGCTCCCCGCAGCTGTTCGTAGCTGTTCTTGGCGGCGAGCGCGGGGGCAGGGGGGAAGGCGAAGGGGCGGGCCATCTCGGAAGGCTCGGAGGGTCTCGGGCTCGGGCCTCCCGGGGAGTTCCCCATGCCGATGCCTTCTCCCGAGACAGACGCCACTTCTCCGGAGGCGCGAAGGCCTCTGAGGCGCCCCGCCGCCTTCTGGGAGGGCCTGCTCCTTCTCGCGTCCACCCCCCCCCCGGGCGCGCCGCCGAGGCTCGCCCACCGGGCCAATGGCTTTCCAGGGCGCCGCCGGGCCGCAGGAGGCCGAGACCAAGGGAGGAAGCCACGATCGAACACTCTGGGGCCGAGGGAATCGGAGGAGCTGTGTTGGTGACTCCGCTGGAGTTCCCAACGCGGGAGGAGGAGGAGGAGGAGGAGGAGGAGGAGGAGGAGGAGGAGGAGGAGGAGGAGGAGGAGGAGGGGGGAGGGGGAGGAGGACAAGCTAGGTGCGCTCGCGTCATATCTGACGTCCTACCCCTCCCTCCCATCCCTTACCATGGCGCTGATTTTCTCTATCCGCGGACGCGTGTCGTAGCGGACCTGTGGCTCCGCGCGCGCGTGCGTAGTGGGTGGTGGTGCACGTGCGTGCGTGCGTGCGTGTGTGCGTGGTTGTCGTGGTGGTGGTGGTGGTGGTGGTGGTGGTGGTGGTGGTGGTGGTGGTGGTGGTGGTGGTGGTGGTGGTGGTGGTGGTGGTGGTGGTGGTGTGGTGGTGGTGGTGGTGGTGGTGGTGGTGTGGTGGTGGTGGTGGTGTGGTGGTGGTGCTGGTGGTGTGGTGGTGGTGGTACTGGTGCTGGTGCTGGTGGTGGGTGGTGGTGGTGGTGGTGGTGGTGGTGGTGGTGGTGGTGGTGGTGGTGGTGGTGGTGGCGGTGCGGCGCGGTGGTGGCGGGCGGATGGGCGCGCGAGAAAAAGGCCCGCGCTGGGGCGAGAACGCCATCCTGAACGACGGAGGCCAAACACCGATCCGAAAATGAGGCCCACGCTGCAGCGGGAGCACGATTCGGAACGATTCGGGAGCAGAAATGAGGCCGGCGCCTCAACGAGAGCAGCATTTTGGGAAAAAATGACGCCGGCGCCTCAGCGAGAGTCGTTTCCCGGGATTTCCCGGGCATCCTGTGTGTAAAAAAACAGTACGCGGAGGGTGCGCGGCCATCACCCGGACGCCATCAGGGGAAGAGGGAGAGTATTTTCATATTGAGTAATTGTGGAGGAGGAGGAGGAGGAGAGGGAGGAGGAGGAGGAGGAGGAGGAGGAGGAGGAGGAGGAGGAGGAGGAGGAGGAGGACGGAGGAGGAGGAGGAGGAGGAGAAGGAGGGAGGAGAAGGAGGACGCCCCGAAAGGTCCTCGGAGGCCCGGGCCGAGGGAAGTCCGCAGGGAGTGCCCCGAGGGGCTCCTGGACCAGCGGCCCCCGCACCCGAGCGGGCCGCCGACGTTGCAGGGGGCGGCGCCTCCCGCACCCGGGGGGGTGCCGTGGGGGGCTCGTCACCACGTGGTCGCCACCTCGCCCTTGGGCGGTGCTGGCCTGCGGGCAGCCCAGGTAAGGCACTTTGGAGATGCCTGCCCAGGAAAGGCACTTTGGAGGTGCCTGCGGGCGGCTCAGGCACTTGCGAGCTCGAGGGGGCCCCAGAACCCCCCAGGACTCACTCCCCGAGGCGCCCAGACACGTCCCAGACATCCTCGTCCCAGGCATCCCCGAGTCCCCCCCCCCCATCCCCATTACAAAAAAGGTGGTGACCCTCCTCGTGGCCCTCATCGACACTGCCCGAGCGCCACCCCCCCCCACACTCGGTCCCCTTAGCCTCCCCCGCGCTCCCCAGCATCAGAAGTCTGCATCTGCGCCTCCGCCCGACATGCTCTCCCGATGAAGCAGAACGCAGTGCGACCTACCGAATTCAGTATCCTCCGTCCACCCCGACAGTTTCCAGGTCATCCTCCGTCATCCTGGTCCCTCCTACCCCCCTCTTCCTCCCCCCCTCCACTTCCCTCGTCCTCTCTCCACTTCCACCTCATCCATATTACCCCGACTCTCCTCCTCCTCCTCCTCCTCGTTGTTTTCTCGAAATGCCATCGGCCAGGTCCGCAGCAGCAGCAGCATGAATAGCCTGTGATTTCCGACTGCTCCGAAGTGAGAATAGCCGCAGTGCTTCTGGCCGCTGGCGCTGCGTTCGCAGCTGCCCGCTGTGCGTCGCCAGCGTTCGAGCGCCCGCGAGGAGGGAGGGGAGGAGCTGGGAGGGGGAGGAGGGAGAGGATCCAAACCAATGAAGAGAAGGCGGAGGAGGTGGAGGAAGAAAAGGAAGAGGAATGAAGGGTTTGAGAGGGAGGTGGGAATGAGCCAGCCCAATGTATGGTCTAAGGGTAAAAGTGGATAAGGGGGAAGAGAAGGAACAGCATCAGGGAGGAGGCGCAACGGAAGGAGGCTGAGAAAGAGAAGGGACGGGGAGGAAGACGCGGAACAGAAACGACCACGGGGTAATTAATGTGCTGACACATTTGAATCCCTGCATGCAAGACTGGTGGCCGGAGTGGCGATGGGGTTGGGGAGGAGGGACGAGAAAGAGGGCAACAACAACGAGGACGAGGAGAACGCGGAGGATGACAAGGAACATCTATGTCCTCATACTTCCCCCCCGCACATTCCCCTCGCCCATATCCTCCTCCACGTCTGCATTTGGCTTATCCGCCTCATCCACCTCCTTCAACTCCGCCTCCTCATCGTCCCCCCGCCACCTCCCCCTCCAACACCACCAGACCTACTTCTTTGTCCTCCTCCTCCTCCGCCCAAAAATGTGGCAAGAACTCTTTCACGAAAAAACAACACCACGTGTGCTAAATCAACAACCATACGATCCGTGGATACTGCCACGTCTGCGACCGAACCGCCGTATGCGACACTGCTGCCTTTTACCTGCTCACCCAGTCGGCTGATAAGCCCAATGTGGACACGGGTGAAATATAAGCAACAGACGTGGTTGGGTACCTGGTGTGCGGGACGCGTGGACAGAGCAAGGACACCAGGACTCCACACCAGCAAAGCAGGTTAAAATAAAGCAATCGTAACATACAACTGGTGCCAACAGAAAGCAACTATGATTTGGGCACAAACGTGGCGGAGCCTCCTAACACGCGAGACACTGTACTGATTCTTAATGTCGCAAAGCACCAAGTCATGCATAATGGTGAACAGCTTCTGTTGTGTAAATCAAAGTCGTTTTGACGAAATCCTGAATCCCAGCTGGTCCGAAGCTCAAATCCCCAATAGCCCCAAGAACGATTGAACTAACGCTCCGTAGCGGGTGCCCGCTCATGCCTCCCGTTAGCAAGGTGTTGACTGGTGCCTCGCATGTGTGCGGACATGCTGTCCCTGCTCACATACTAAACAACACCATGAACAAGGTTCCGATTCAATTCTAAGTCGATTGCGTTGGTATCTGACCATTGCATCGCATCTTGCAACCGCAACTGAATAACCCAGATGTGTCTGACTGTTCCTAGCCCTCGCCGCCCAGAAAAAGCAGCAGCAGGGCTGACATCCCGCTTGAACGAGATACAACTGCCATCGCCAAAACCCTTGAGGACTGCTAGCGCTACTGAGCCGCCTTCGGGCCCCGGCGGGGCGGCCGGCCGGCCCGCGGAGGACGATGCAAGGGATGTGGCGGGCGCAGGCGACGGGCGAACGGGAGCGGTGGAGAGGAGACGGCAGAAGAGAAGGGGAGACAGAGCGGAAGAGCGATGGGGAATGAGGTGGGGGCCAGAGCGTGCGGAAAGAAGCTCGGGATGCGCTCGAGGACAAGCAACAACACCAGCAACACCAGCAACAACAACAACACGAATAACACTCACAACAACGTCAACACCTACAACACCAACAACACCAACAACAAAAATCACTTTGAGACAATTTGCTCTTATCTGCTCGAGTGTCCGTTAACGCGTATTTCCCAAACCCTCGATACCCGCCCTCTTCGTCCCCGATCGTACTCCTTTTGGGGGGTATACCTTTCTTCCCTGCACGCCGGGCCCATGCAAGCGGCGGGGCAGCCGCGGACCGTCTGCCTGGCCAGCGGCAGCGCTGATCGTCGGCAACCCGACCCCAAGATGGACGGACAGGGGACCGACCACGACGACGACGACGACGCCGACGTCGACGACGACGATGGCGACGACGACGAGCGAAAGCGAGAGCGAGAGAGAGAGAGAGAGAGAGAACGACAGCAGGGCCACGAAGGGCACGAAGTAGGCCACGAAGGGCGACAGCGGGGACACGAAGGGAATGCGCATGGGGCCACGAAGAGCGCGAATGAGCGGGGGCCACGAAAGGCAGATAATGCGGGGCCACAGAAAGCAACGACGGGGCCACTGAGGGTAGCAACCGGGCCACGTAGGGCAGCGAGGGGGCCACAAAGGGCGACAGCCGGGCCACGAAGGTCATGCACATGGGGCCACGACGGGCGCGAACGAGCGGGCGCCACGAAGGGCATACGTATATTGGGCCGCAACGGGCAAGGACGGGGCCACTGAGGGCAGCAATGGGGCGACGAAGGGCAGCGAGGGGGCCACGAAAGGCGACAGCGGGGCCACGAAAGGCATGCATATGGGGCCACGAAAGGCGCGAGCGCGCGGGGGCCACGAAGGGCATACATATATGGGGCCACGAAAAGCAGCGAGGGGGCCACGAAGGGCTGCAAGGGGGCCACGAAGGACAGCGAGGGGGCCACGTAGGGCTGCAACGGGGCCACGAAGGGCAGCGAGGGGGCTACGAAGGGCTGCAACGGGGCCGCGCAAGGCAACGAGGGGGCCACGAAGGGCTGCCACGGCGCAGCGAGGGGTCAACGAAGAGATGCAACGGCGCAACGAAAGGCAGCGAGAGGGCCACGAAGGGCTGCAACGGGGCCACGAAGGGCAGCGAGGGGGTCACGAAGAGATGCAACGGGGCCACGAAAGGCAGCGAAGGGACCACGAAGGGCGACAACGGGGCAACGAAGGGCATGCATATGGGGCCACGAAGGGCTGCAACGGGGCCACGAAAGGCAGCGAGGGGGCCACGAAGGGCTGCAACGGGGCCACGAAGGGCAGCGAGGGGGCCACGAAGGGCTGCAACGGGGCCACGAAGGGCAGCGAGGGGGCCACGACGGGCTGCAACGGGTCCACGAAGGGCAGCGAGGGGGCCACGAAGGGCTGCAACGGGGCCACGAAGGGCAGCGAGATCCCGATTGTTAAATAATATGTGAGGGAGTCATAAGCGTGAGCGCGACTCCTGGTTCCTGAGTGTCGGGAGCGCGGCGCTTGAGTAAATCCCACCAGCCCTCTGGGCGTCGGTGGTTTAGAGCGTTTCCTCTTCCACCCCTCCCTCTTCCCCTTCGGGGAGGGGTTTACCCCTCCCCCTACCCCCTCCCCACTGACCTGGACAGGAGGGGCGGGGAGCGGTCAGAGCGTCCAAAACGGCCCCGCCGAGGAAACCAAAATCATTGATTGTACTATGGTTTTGGCCCCATCTTGGCCTTCTGATGGGGGCAGGGCTAATTAAAGCCCCCCTCTTCCTTGAAGCCAAAATCATTGATGTTACTAAGGTTTTGGCCCCATTTTGGCCTTCTGAGGGGGCTGCGCTAATTAAAGCTCCCCTCTTGTTTGAAGCCAGAATCATTGATTTTACTCAGGTGTTGGCCCCATTTTGGCCTTCTGAGGGGGCAGCGCTAATTAAAGTTCCCCTCTTCTTTGATCGATTTCCTCCAAGATGGCCCCAAGAAGCGCCCAGGAGGCACCAAGAGGCCCCAAGATGGCCCCAAGAGGCCCCCAGGAGGCACCCAAGAGGATCCCAAACGGCCCAAAGAGGCCCCCCCGAGGCACCCAAGACGCCGAAAAGCCCGTCAGGACGACCCTCTACTCGCCTGGGCGTCGTTTCTGGACGGGCTGGTGGGGATACGCGAAGCGTCTAGAATTTTGGATAATTCCGGCGCAAGGGCGCTAGTCTTGAGCTAATTGCAGGCAGGTCTCCAGCAAGAGCGCGACTCCAGAGCGCCGAGAGAACGATTCTTGCATACATTGCCTCCTCCTCCTCCTCCTCCTCCTCCTCTCGCGCCGCCTCCTCCTCGTCGTCGGCCTCCCCCATGCCCCTTCCCTCCTCATCCCCCTACCTTTTCTCCATGTGCACCTCCCCTTCCCCCTCGTCGGGGCAAGCAAATCCATTTTCCTCAGCGCCGTCGCCGCCTCGGCCAGCGCGCGCGCGTCTGCCGACGGCTAGATTGCGAAGCCGTCGGGACAAACCTTCGGACTGGGCCGTCGGCTCCCGCTCAAGACTTCCTCCATATTCAGGTCTCAGGAGCCCAAAAGTGACGACGGTTGCACGTTGCGGATGACCCGCTCGGATTCAAACATGAAGTGCGGGCCCCATAGAAAAGGGGGCTCCCGCCTGAGACTTCCTCACAATTCACTCACAGACGAGGCTCCCGCTCGAGACTTCCTCCATATTCACGTCTCAAGAGCCCAAAAGTGACGACAGTTGCACGTTGCGGATGACCCGCTCGGATTCGAACATGAAGTGTGGGCCCCATAGGGAGGGGGTTCCCGCCTGAGACCTCCTCACAATTCACTCACAGACGAGGCTCCCGCCTGATACTTCCTCCATATTCAGGCCTCAAGAGCCCAAGAGTGACGACAGTTACACGTTGCGGATGACCCGCTCGGATTAGTAACATGATCTGCCCCATAGGGAGGGGGCTCCCGCCTGAGACATCTTCGCTATTCACTCACAGACGAGGCTCCCGCTCGAGACTTCCTCCATATTCAAGTCCCAAGAGCCCAAAGGTGACGACGGTTGCACGTTGCGGACGACCCGCTCGGATTCAAACATGAAGCGCGGGTCCCATAGGGAGGGGGCTCCCGCCTGAGACTTCCTCACAATTCACTCACAGACGAGGCTCCCGCCTGATACTTCCTCCATATTCAGGCCTCAAGAGCCCAAAAGTGACGACAGATACACGTTGCGGATGACCCGCTCGGATTCGAACATGAAGCGCTGGGCCCATAGAGAGGGGGCCCCCGCCTGAGACTTCCTCGCAATTCACTCACGGACGAGGCTCCCGCGTGAGACTTCCTCCACATTCAGGTCTCAAGAGCCCAAAAGTGACGACAGTTGCACGTTGCGGAGACGGAGACCCGCTCGGATTCGAACATGAAGCGCGGGCCCCATAGGGAGGGGGCTCCCGCCTGAGACTTCCTCACAATTCACTTACAGATGAGGCTCCCGCTCGAGACTTCCTCCATATTCAAGTCTCAAGAGCCCAAAAGAGACGACAGTTGCACGTTGCGGATGACCCGCTCGGATTCGAACATGAAGTGCGGGCCCCATAGGGAGGGGGCTCCCGCCTAAGACGTCCTCGCAATTCACTCACAGACGAGGTTCCCGCCTGATACTTCCTCCATATTCAGGTCTCAAGAGCCCCAAAGTGACGACAGATACACGTTTCGGATGACCCGCTCGGATTCGAACGTGATGTGCGGGCCCCACAGAAAGGGGGCTCCCGCCTGAGACTTCCTCACAATTCACTCACAGACGAGGCTCCCGCTCGAGACTTCCTCCGTATTCAGGACTCAAGAGCCCAAAAGTGACGACAGTTGCACGTTGCGGATGACCCGCTCGGATTCGAACATGAAGTGCGGGCCCCATAGGGAGGGGGGGTCCCGCCTGAGACTTCCTCACAATTCACTCACAGACGAACTCCCGCCTGAGACTTCCTCCAGGTGAGTATGTGAATGAGTGAGCGTGTGACAGAGTGCGAGTGATGATGATGATGATGATGATGATGATGATGAGTATGTGAGTGACTGAGCGTGTGAGAGAGCGCGAGTGATGATGCTGATGTTGATGATGAGAAGGTGTGAGTGAGTGTGAGTGTGAGTGAGTGGTGATGATGATGAGTGAGTGAGTGAGTGTGCGAAGGCAGAAGAGGAGAGGGGGTGGGGTGAGTGTTCCTGCGCGGGGTGTGCAGGGAAAACAAGAACCCCACTTTGGATGTGGGGAAAAACAAGGTGTGAGCGCCGGGAGGGGCACTTCAATTGAAGAAATTCAATGTGCACCGGAGGGGGGGGGGGAACAACAACAAGAACAACAAGAACAACAATAACAACAACACCACCAGCAACAGCAACAGCAACAGCAACAGCAACAGCAGCAGCAGCAGCAACAGCAACAGCAAGAGCAACAGCAATATCAACAGCAACACCACCACCACCACCGCCACCACCAACACCAACAACAACAACTCCAACAAAGACACCAACACCAACACCACCACCAACAATAACAACAAAAGCAACAACAGCAGCAACAACAATAACAGCAACAACAACAGCAACAGCAACAACAAAGACCCCGTACTCAGGATGGCGTCGCGATGCCCTGCAGCGCGCGTTGCCTCCTTCCTACCGCTCCTCCTCCTCATCATCCTCCTCCTCCGTGGGCAATGACCCCGGAGGAGGCGGAGAAGAGGGACAAGGACGCGCGGGAGTGGGCTGCTAGGAAGGCCCCCGTGGTCGAGGGACGCAAGAGGAAAGCAGAGGAGTGGAGGAAAGGTCAGGAGGCGAAAGCGGAGGCGGCACAGGTGCGCGGAGGCGCGGCCCCTGCAGCGCCACCCGGGGACCTGCTGGCGCCAGAGCGGAAGGCTAGGAGGAGAGGGGCGCGCGCCACTTGACAGGAGGCCGCGGTGGGGGCGGAGACCGACCGAGCCAGCGGGCCCGGCGCGCCCGCCCAAGGAGGCGACGACGCAAAACAGAGGAGGAGGCGGAGGAGGAGGAGAAGACTGACGCTGGTAGAGCAGGAGGAGGAGGAAGCTGACGAGGCAGAGGAGATAAAGAGGCCAGAGGAGACAACGGGCCACAGGAGGAGCTTGAGGAAGACCGAGGCAAACGCTGTGCGAGGAGGAGTCAGCAAGGTGGAAGCCGGAGGGCAGCTGAAGGTAGCGATGAACAACACGCACGGCGCCCCGGGAGCCTGGCGGCTGCTGGCCGAAGTAGCGCCCCCGAGGACGCGGAAGTAAAAGGCAGAGGAGCCAGAGGAGGGGGCCGAGGAGAGCGAGGAGGAGGAGGAGGAGGAGGTAGAGGAGGATCAGGAGGCAGTCGAGGAGACAGGACAGTCGGAGGGGGCGACAGGACCGATCCCCGCCGATGTGGTGCTCCTGCAGGAGGTCAAGATGCTCGAGGAAGACTGGAGGTGCTTCGCGCTGGCGGCCGCTAAGAGGGGCTACACGGCGTACGGCCAGGCCGGCAGGACGAGCAGAGGAAGATGGGGGGAAGTGACTGCCCAGGGAGGGGTGGCGATCCTCGTCGGGAAAACTTTGCCACAACGCCTGGAGTGGCAGGCGGTAGAGGGCGCGCAAGCGCTTGTCCTGTGGGTGGCGGGGTGGAAGGTCGTCAACTCCTACGGCCCGCCCACGGAGGAGGGCAAGTGTGCGATGGTCAGCCTCGGGATCCAAATTTTCGAGGCCTGCAGGGGGCAACGTGCACCTTGGCTCTGGGGAGGGGACTTCAATGACCTACCAGAGGATTCGGGCTGCGCGGCAATCGCCGAGCACGAGGGCGGAACCGTCGTGCCCGGGTGCGAGGTTGGGACACGATGGAAGAGCCGGCGTAAAATCAACTGGTTCGCGACGAACGCTGCTGAAAGGGCGGGGGTGATGCGCGCTGAGACGCTGCACGTGTCTGATCACAAGGTCTTGACGACAACCATGGGCGCCCGGCTCAGGATCGAGAGGAGGATTGGGAAGCTCAGAGGTACCCCGTCCTGGCGAAAACCTGACGGCATACCCGCTGACGAGTGGAGGTTGGCGCTGGAGTCTCGAGCGCGAAAGGTACCCGTACCCTTACCCAGACGGGGTGGCAAGGGGCCCTCGGGGCATCACCCCCCCTGGGTCCGGGTCGGCTCCCGAAACCACCATACATACCCGTACCTAGACGGGGTGACCCAACCACCACCCCAGCTAGGTCCGGGTATGTATGGTTGTTTCGGGCACCGACCCGTACCCAGACGAGGTGGCGGCAAGGCCGAAAACGCTCTAGCGGGCGGCCCTTTTCACCCCAGCTGACCCCGGGTCCGGGTATGTTTTGGGCTAATGATGGAGGAGGCTTGGGAGGCTGGAGCCAGCGAAGAAGCGCAGGAGCGGCTAACGAGGTGCCTGGCGGAGGAAGAGGTGGACGTGGAGGCCGAGTGGGGCGCCTTCAACGAGGCTGTCGAAAACGCAATCCGGTCCGCCCTGAGCCGGCTGGCGCGCGAGGCGGCTGAGGCAGGCAAGAAAGAGCAGGCGGCCGCGCTGAGGAAGCAGGCCGGGAGCCAGGGGAGGAAAGGAGGACGAGGGGAGCACTACTGGGCCCAGCTCACTGGGGCCGGCGAGGAGCAGCAGGACACTTTCAAGGTGAGGAAGGCGCGGAGGTGGCTCGCGAGGGCCCACGAGGTACTACGACAACACAGGGCCCTCGGGCGGAAGTGGGGGCAGCGGGACGAGCACCAGAAGCTCATCAGGAGGGTGGGGGAGGGCGCGCGGCAGCCTGGTACAGGACTCGCGGAGCGGATCAAGCAAGCGGAGGAGGCCCTGAGGAAGGTAGAGGCAGCGCAGAAGGAGGAGCGACTGCAGCGCTGGAGGGACCGAATGGGGGCGGGCATCAAGGAGGTGGCGGCCTGGCTCCAGAGAAAACGGGAGCCTGCCACAGTCCCCGCGCTTCTGTGGCGGCAAACAACAGAGGACGAGGAGGACGAGGAAGAGGATGAGGAGGAGGAGAGCGGAGGAAAGTACGCGAGGCCAGAGGCGGAAGCGAAGGCAGGCCGACCTGCGAAGGAGGAGGAGGAGGGGGCGGCCGGAAAGGCCAAGCAGGGAGGTCGGCAACGCTTGGTCGCCGACACCTTGGAGGAGGCTTGCGCGGCGATCCGGGATCACTGGACGAAGGTCTGGGCGGCGCAGCAGGGGGAGGAGGCGGCGACGAGGCGCAAGGAGGTGGTGGACTTCATGGCGGCAGAGTACCCGCCCGCCAGCAGCCAGGAGGAGTGGCGGGACCCGACCGTTGAGGAGGTAAACGCAACCATGCGGGCCGCCGGAGGCAGCGGGGGCGTGGACGGGTGGACCGGCCAGGAAGTAAAGTGGCTGCCCATCGGGGTGGCGGGCGCCTTCCGCCAGCTGGCGCTCAGGTGGCAGGCGGCCGGCGCCGTTCCTTCCGCGCTCAAGGAGACGAGGCAGGTCAACTTGGGCAAGCCGGGCAAGGTGAAAGAAGGCAGGCTTAAAGTGGAGGACACCAGGCCGATCAATGTCGAGAGTGTCTGGTGGAGGGTGTGGGCGTCGGCGTGGGTGAAGTCGGCGCCGGCAGCAGAGTGGCGGAGAAAGAATCTGCCTGCGGACGTCCTGGGAGGGGCGGGGTCCAAAGGGGCCGAGGAGGCGGCGGCGGACATCTGCGATGACCTTGCGCAGCAGGGCTTCGCGGGCACCCTGGACTACTCCCTGTGCTACGACCACATGCACCCCGAGCTCACCTGCGGGCTGATGGAGCGGGTGGGATGGCCGGCAGGGATAACGAGGCTGTGCCAGGAAATGTGGACTGGACAGAGGAGGTGGGTGGCGTGGAACGGCCACATCAGCCCCGACGTACTGGTGGCTAGCGACGCGCTGCCACAAGGAGATCCATTCGGCCCGCTGGCGCTGAACATATGGATGGGTGCAGGAACGAGGTGGGTGGCGACGCGCTGCGAGGAGGGCGACCCGGCGAGCCTGGGCCCGGAGCCGCAGGAGGAGGGCGAGGCTAGGGCTCGAGGGCGAGAGGAGGTTGAGGGGCCCGAAGAGGACGGAGGCTGAAGCCGAGGAGGAAGGCGAGGAGACGCCAGAAGCAGAGGAGGAGGAGAAGGAGGAGAAGGAGGAAGAGGCGGCACCCGGAGCAGACGAGGAAGCCAAAGAGGGCGAGGCGGCGACCGAGGAGAAGGAAGCGGCGCCGGAAGCAGACGAGGAGGATGAGGAGGGCGAAGAGAGGGCCGAGGAGGAAAAGGCGCCAGGCGCAGACGAGGAGGGCGAGAACGCCCGCGCTGCCGGTACGAGGCGGCGAGAGAGGAGGAGGGGGAGGAGGAGGCAAGGGAGGCCGAGGTCCACCATTTACATGGATGACCGCACGTGGACCGCCACGACGGCCCAGGAATGCATCCAGAGAGATGGAGTGTGGCATGAGTGGAGCAGGCGGGTCGGCCTCCAGGAGAACCCGGGAAAGACGCAGTTGGTTGCGCGGGGCAACAAGGAGGAGCAGGAGCTACGGAGAGAGGCAGCGAGGCACGGGCTTGGGGAAGCAGTCAAGCCGGTGATGGAGGCGCTCGGGGTCGTGACGGTGGGGGCAAGGCCGCGTCCGCCCCAGGAGAAGGAGGCGAAGCGCGTCGACTCGGCGATGCAGGAGCTGCGCAGACTGCAAGGCCTGCCGGTGGGCAGAAGGTTGAGGCAGACGTATTGCAGGGCTTTTGGTTTGGCAAAGTGCACCTACGGGTGGATGGCGAGGACAATGCCCCTTGGGGTAGCCATGAAGATCTCGGCAACTGTTCGACGAACAGCAGGAGGCTGCAGGATGGGGGCGGTGCCGATCCTAGCCATCCTGGAGGGGGGCACGCTGGCGACGGACGTGATCATTGGGGCCCGCCAGATGTCCATGCTGAGGAGGCGGTTGCTGAGGCGGCACAACGCCCCTCAGTATCGCCAGTGGACCAGGCAGCGCGGGACCCTGTGTGGCGCGGCCCGGGGGTGGTTGCGTCGCTTAGGGTGGGTGGAGGAAGCGCCCTGGCGGTGGTCCCATCCAGGGTTCGGAGGCTACGTCGACCTCGGGCGGCGCGCCACCATTGAGGAGGAGCTCCGAGGTGAAGACGTACGTGCCGCTCTCATGCACGAGGTTCGAGAGGGCTGGAGGTGGTGGAACTGGGAACAGTTCAGGAAGATGCGGCGCAGGGACGCCGTGAGGATGGCAGCCACAAGGTACGATGAGGCAAGGGTGAGGCTGGCCAGGGAGGCGGCGACGGCGTCCACGCGGCGCCTGCATTTGATGTGCGGGGCGTTTCTCTCGCCCATGGCGGCGGCGCAGGCAGGAGCACGGGGCCGCTGCAGGTGCATCTGGCCAGGGTGCGAGGAGGCGGTGCCGGACCAGGACCACATCATGTGGGCCTGCAGGAGGAGGCCGGAGGAGGCGCCAGCGCGGCCCCCGGAGGTGCTCCAGCAGAGGTGGGGCTGGCCCGGGGGCCAGGACCGCCAGGAGGACGCCAGGATCCTGCGCTACATGGAGGAGGTGGTGCAGAAGGTCTGGGACGACAGGTACCCGCAGAACGAGGCTAGGCGCGCGGCGCAGGAGAGGCTGAGGAGGGAGACTGGAAAGGAGGAGGCGCTGGAGGAGAGAGGGGAGGAGGTGCAGAGAGGAGCAGAGGAGGCGGCGCCGGAGGACGAGGAGACGGGCTGCAGGAGGAAAGAGTGCCCAGACGAGCCGCCGAGGAACCCTGAGGACCGAGGAAAGAGGAGGAGGAAGCAGGAGGCGGCCGCGGGCCGCCCAAAGCGGGCCCCCCCGGAGGGCGAGGCGGAGGCGCTGCGAGGGCGGTGGAAACAGGGCCGGCGGACCGGCGCGAAGCAGGACGAGGGAGGAGGGCGCCAGAAAAGAGACCGGCCCGAAGAAGCTGAGGATGGAGGGCGGAGGAAGGCTGGCCGACGGGCCGGAGGAGGAGGCAAAAGAGGCCGGCCGGAGGGCCACTGCCAAGGGGACAAATGTCCTAGGAGGAGACAGAGGAGGTAGAGGAGGAGGAGGAGGAGGGCGATTTGCACGGAGGGGACGTAGGAGGGCGAAGCGGGCGAGACCCGGGAGGAGGCTGGCGGAGGAGGAGGGCGACAAGCAAGGCGGAGGTTGAGGAGGGCGAGGAGGGCGAAGGCGAGGAGGAGGTGGCGGAGGCGGAAGGGGGGCCCCGGCCCCAGGTGGCGCGCTCTTCCAAGAAGAGCTGGCCAGTGTTTCACGGCAGGATGTGGCACGCTCTTCCAAGAAGAGCCGGCCAGTGATTCACTGTAGGAGGGGTGGCCGGCCTTTGGCCACTTCTATGTCGTTGACTCCGACATCCGGGGCTTCGGCATGTACAATTTCATATATCCTCATCCTCCTCCTCCTTGTAACTTTTCCTCCTCCTCCTCCTCCTCCTCCTCCTCCCTGCCTGTCCTCCCCCCTTATCCGTCCTCCACCACACCCATCCTCTTCACAACCTCCTCCTCCTCCTCCTCCTCCTCCTCCTCCTCTTCCCTGTCATATCCAGTCCCCTCCCTCCCCCGCCCAATCCCTCCACTGCCTCCTCCACGGTGTCTGTCACTGATCCCCCTCCTTATCCCTCCTCGGACTCCTCCCGATTCCCCCGGCCTTCCTCCACGTCCCTCGCACTATATTTCCTCCTCCCTCGTCCAGACATGTCCTCCTTCGTTCCCGTCCCTACAGGCTTCAATGTTTATGGGCATGGCGGTGGAAGAGGTTGCCTGCTCAAGCAGCCGCTTTTGGGGGAGCCTCGTGCGAAGAAGATAGGAAGCGCATACTGACAAGTAGATGTACACTAAGAAGAGGAACCACACGAACATGCATCATCTCAAAAGGCAGCACTAGTGCAGCAATGACTCGCGAACATAATGCAGTTTCGCAACAAGGCGAGAATGAACGGTTTGACGATACGACAAGGCTTAGGCGAGGAGTGAAATGACGTTTGAACTATCCTGCGTGGTGCGTACCGCGCCGTGCCGTCGGTTGTGTTACGTCTGGGCGTCTAAGGCTCGGTGGCGTGAGGTTGTACAGCGTGTCTTTCCCAACCTGTGTTTGCACTTGGGGTTTCTCAATTGTTTTCTAAAGAACTGGGCCTGGTTGGCGGTCTGGCGGCTCCGTGGTTCCCGTCGCCCCCCCGTCGCCGCCCGTCGCCTGGGCCTGGCTGGCGGTCTGGCGGCTCCACGATCGCCGTCGCCGCCACGTCGCCGCCGACATAGATTCTCATTTCTAACAAGAGAATAGACTCCACCCCCCCCGGCGTTATCCGCCCCCGTTTCGGGTATTTAAAACATATATGATGCTGACCACATGCCCATCCTAAGTCCCAGGGGGGCCAGTATCGACCCCCTGAGGTTCCCTTGCAAACAACGATACGCGGGGACATCTTTTTATTCTGACATAACACTTGTTCACGAATCCCTGGCAAAAATGGGACGAATGGCACACGCACGCGTCGTCGCGCGCGCATATCGAAATCCTCCAAAAACCTTCTGTGTCGGAAGGATTTCGCAATCGAGTTCCCAAAAGGCACACAAAAACAAAGGGTTTCGCAACACCGATGTGCAAAAAAGTGTACGCGCGAGCTCTTGCGAAATCATAAGTAAACAATGTTTTTTTTCAAGATCCTCACACAATGCTACTCAACGAGCTTCTCGCGTGCATGTCGAAATCAATCGAACGCCCTTGCGCGTGTACCGTCGCGAGAATCCTGCAAAAAATGGAACGAAGTGCAGACGCGCGCGTCGTCGCGCGCGTATGCCGAAACCCTTCAAAACCCATCGGCTTCGGAAAGATTTCAACATCGTGCGTCAAAAAAACCTGCAACAGCACAAGGTTTCGCAACACGGATGTCCAACAAAAGCGTGCGCGCGCGACCTTGCGTCGTCGTCGTCGCCGTCGTCGTCGTCGTCGCGGTCCTCCCTCCTCCCGCGTCGTCGTCGTCGTCGCCTACGTCGTCCTCGGTCGTTCCTCGTGTCCCTCCTATTTCGCCTCTGTCGTCATCGTCGTCGTCGTTGTCATCGTCGTCGTCTTCCCTCCTCCCTCGTCGTTGTCGTCGTCGGCGTCGCCGTCCTTCCTCCTTCTTCGTCGTTCGCGTCGTCGCCGTCCTCCCTCCTCCCTCGTCGTTGTCGTCGTTGTCGTCGTTGTCGCCATCGTCGTCCTCCCTCCTCCCTCGTCGTCGTCTTCGTTGGCGACGTCGTCGTCGCCGCCGTCGTCGTTGGCGTCTTCGTCGTCGTGGACGTCGGCGTCGTCGTCGTCGCCGCCGTCGTCGTCGTCGTCGTCGTCGACGCCGGCGTCGTCGGCGTCGTTGACGTCGTCGTCGTCGTCGTCGGTGTCGTCGTTGTCGTCGTCGTCGTCGGCGTCGTCATCGTTGTCGTCGTTGTCATCGTCGGCGTCGTCGTGGGCGTCGGCGTCGTCGTCGTCGTCGTCGGTGTCGGTGTCGTCGTCGTCGGCGTCGTCGAAGTCGTTGGAGACGTCGTCGGTGTCGTCGTAGTCGTTGTCGTCGGCGCCGTCGTCTTCGTTGTCGCTGTCGTCGTCGGCGTCGCTGTCGTTGCCAAGTGCCATTTGGTACCCACCGTGACGGTCTTAAGAGATTTTGCAAACCAAGTTGCGGGTGGGTGGGTGGGATGTTTGCGCGAGCAGTGAAGTGGACAACTCAATGCGAACAGAAATTAATTGCACCACATAGACTGCGCACCACATAGATTGCGCACCACATATATCGCACCACGTAGATTGCACCGCACATATTGCACAACGTACATTGTACAACATATATTGCACCACATATCTTGGATCACATCGATTGCACCACAATTTTGCTCCACAAAGATTGCGAAACTTGGATTGCACCGCATATATTGCACCACGCAGATCTCTCCCCTCGCCTCGACCTCGTCCCTCTCATGTTCACTCTCCCTATCTAGTCCCTTCCCCTTCCTCCCTCCTCCTCTCCTCCTCTCCGCCCTTCTAGCTTCTCTATTCTGTCCCTCCGCGTCGCCTCGGCCCTTCCGAGTACGCAGGGCTGACTCGAGTGCTTCGAGCCGACTCGCCTCGTTTCGGGTGGCGGCCCAAGAAGCCTGGCGGGGACGACATCTGGCTTCCAAGGGGGGCGGAGGTGGCGACCCTTCTCCTCCCCCTCCTCTTCTTCTCCCTTCCCCTCTAGGCCGTCGCTCGCGTTGCCCTGGGGCCATCCAACGCAGGAGACTTGAACCCATAGCGTTTCGGAGGGATTCGCGGATACTGGTGACGGGCATGGCTTTGAACAGGCAGAAGAGAAGGACGATAACGGCAACAATGACGTGCACGAGGGGGGGTGCACAGAGCAGACCCGGGCGTCACCGCGCGGCGACGAGAGAGCCCGGGCGCTGCATGGCGCTGATCGGGAGTGTCCCCTCGCTGCCTCCCGAAGTGGCGGTGGACTGCCAGCCCTGCATGTAGGCGTCGAAATCGAGCTGGCTGCTCCACCTCTCGGGGGCGAGGAGCTGTTTTCTGGGGGGGAGGGGCTTTTCTCCAGGATCTGGGTGGGATTGTGGAACCTCATGCATGTATGATGGAAATGGGCGAAAAGTTGGCTCCCCTGGTGGAACCGTGGGAGGGACCGTCGGACTTCTGCCGAAAGACACTTTCCCAACCCTGAACGCGAACCCCGTGACGCGCCGAAAAGGACGTCGCATCATTACAGCCCAAGTTACCCTGAGAACCATCTCTTCCTGGCTGTCTGTGTAGCTGTGATGAAGCGTTTGTACTAATAGCAGCAGGGTTGTCCCTGGTGCTAGTGGTGGTAGCTACATTAGGCATCGTAATGCGACGAGTGCTAATCAGAGCAATCGGTATAGCAATGGTTGTCACAGTATGCACTGCGACCGTATCGTAACAAACACGATCGCGGTGGCAAACATAGTGCCAATATAAAAAACAACTACGACTCATAATCATTGCAAAGGAAGCTGTGTTCTTCGTTTTGTCCGTAGTAGTAGTCGTAGCAGTCGTAGTCGTAGTCGTAGTCGCAGTAGTAGTAGTAGTAGTAGTAGTAGTAGTAGTAGTAGTAGTAGTAGTAGTAGTAGTAGTAAGGGTAGCAGTAATGGTCGTAGTAGTAGTAGTAGTAGTAGTAGTAGTAGCAGTACCAGTAGCAGCAGTAGTATTAGTAAAAGTATTATCAATAGTTGTGGCAGTAGTAGTAGCAGTAGTAGTAGTAGCAGTAGTAGGAGTAATAGTCCTCGTAGTAGAAGTAATAGTAATCGTAGTAGTCGTGGAAGTAGTAGTAGTAGTAGTAGTAGTAGTAGCAGTAGTAGAAGCAGTAGCAGTAGCAATACCAGTGGCAGTAGTAGTAGTAGTAGTAGTAGTAGTAGTCGTAGTAGTAGTAGTAGTAGTAGTAGTAGTAGCAGTAAGAGTAGTAGTATTGGTACAGGTAGTATCACTCGCAGCATCCATCGTGGCACAACACTACAGTATCGTAGCAACAGTGGTAGAGTCCAGCATGAAAGTGACATGGCATGCGACTAATATGTTAATATCAATGTTCGTTGACACAGTATGCGTTGTAGTCGTGGCCTGAGAAGTGTAAGTGGTAGCAGCCGATACAGGACTAGTAGTAACACACGTAGTAGTTTGTGAGTGTACAGGTCGAAAATAATATAGCAGTACAAGTACAAATACAGATGCCGATCAAGAGTCACAACAATAGGGTGGCGTTCGTGCTCGTATATACGCTCCCTTGTAGAATCTTACCTGGCCCCTGCGTTCTAGAACTTGGCCTCGGCCAGTCGTGGTCGGCTTTCTAGATTCGGCCTTCCAGTTTTTGACGACGGCATCCGTCTCGTCGTCGTCGTCGTCGTTCGTTGCTGTTGGCCGGTCGGTCTGGCGCCGTCGTCCGTCGGGCGTCGCGGTCGATTGCCAATCAAGAGTCACAAAAATAGGGTGCCGTTCGTGCTCGTATATACGCTCCCTTGTAGAATCTTACCTGGCCCCCGCGTTCTAGAATTTGGCCTCGCCCAGTCGCAATAGGGCTTCTAGATTTGGCCTTCTCGAATTTCCGACGGCGTCCTTCTCGTTGTCGACGTCGTGCGTCGCTGTTGGTCGGCAAGTCAACTTTCGTCGTCCGTCAGTCGTCGCCGTCGGTCGTCCTCGTCATTCCGTCGGTCTTGGTCGGTCGGTCGGTCGGTCGTTCGGTCGGTTGGTGGTCGTTGCCGTGGTCGGTGTCTGTGTCGGTCGTCGCCGTCGGTCGACGTCGTCGTCGTCGTCGGTCGCTCGCTCGGTCGGTCGGTCGTCGTCGTCGTCGATCGTTCGGTCGGTCGTCGTCGGTCGCTCGGCCGCAGGGTTGCTTGGTCATTCGTGCGGTCGGTCGCTCGGTCGCCGTCGCAGCGCTATCACTCGTCCATCGTCGCCATCGATCGTTGTCTGGTCGTTCGGTCGGTCAGACGGGCGGCTGTAACGTCTGTCGCATGCAGTGGGCAACTAGAGCGAGCCACACGTCCACCACGGCCTAAACGAATTCGACGGACACTCCTCGCCAAAATCCCCACCAACGAATTATTCACATGACTGGCCAGTCAAGTGAATCCTGCTGGTACTGAGATTTTAGTGACCATACCATACCGGGCAGATTGTGGGTCCAAAGTCATGCTATCAACCTCAGATGACGGAAACACGACGTCGACGACAACGACGACGACCGTCGGACCGACTCAGGCCGACAACCGGCGAACGACGACTAGCGACAACGACGAACCACGGCGACGGCCGACGAACAACGACGACGACGACAACGACGTCTGGACGGTTGAGGCGGGGTCCGTTTGGAGCGTTGGGGAGGCTTCAGTCGGGGGCGCATTCGGGGGTTCATTCGCTATTCTTTCGGCCCAAGCGTATGGTCTCAAACCAAACATTTAGCACGATTCGGAGCCCGAGGTGGTATATTCGCCTGCAGCCGCCCCTCCTTTCTAGAAATTTTACCCGGCCCGAGCGTTCTAAATGTTGCCCTCGCCTGGTCGGGGTAGCTTCTACAGTTGGCCCTCTAGAATTTACGACGGCGTCCGTCTCGTCGTCGTCGTCGTTCGTCGCTGTTGGTCGGTCGGTCTGTCGTCGTCGTCGTCCGTCGGTCGTCGTCGTTGGTCGTCGTCCTCGTCGCTCGGTCGCTCTTGGTCGGTCGGTCGGTCGGTTTGCGGTCGGCGGTCGTTTCCGTCGTCGTTGTCTTTCGATCGTCGCCGTCGGTCGACGTCGTCGTCGATCGCTCGGTCCACCAATCGGTCGGTCGTCGTCGTCGATCGCTCGCTCGGTCGTTGGTCGTCGGTCGCTCGGACGCTGGGTTGCTCGGTCATTCGTTCGTCGTCGCCGTCGGTCCTTGTCCAGTCTTTCGGTCGGTCGGTCAGTCGGGCAGATTTAACGCGCGTTGCATGAGTGGGCCGCCAGAGCGAGCCACGCCTTCACCACGGCCTCCACCAATCACAACCAGTAGACGTGTACACCTCGTCAAATCTCACGAGCAAGCTAGTCACGTCACTGCAGCAGCAATAGTCGCAGTAGTGCGATCAGCACGAGTATGAATAATAATAAGAATAATACAGCCCGTACAGTTGGAGTAATTGAGCTTTGGGTTTGGGGCTTGGGATTCGGGTTCTTAAGCTCGGTGCTTGGGGTTTGGCGTCTGTTCTTTGCTGTTTTCGTGTTTGGGATTCTGGGATTTGGGTTGGGCGTTTGGGGGTTGGCGTTTGGGGCTTTGGGGGTTGGGAAACAAGGATGGGCCGGGGGTGTCAGGTTCCCCGTTCACGGGCGGGAGATGTTGAGCGGTCTCCCCCAGACAACCATCGCTGCGACAGAGAGCCACGCTCACATAGGAAACCACCCCTCTTCCCGAAGAACCGCCCCCGTCACGGACGATCACTTTTCCCCTCTCTCGGAAGGCGAGCGCAACAAAAGGTCGGGGCGAGGCGCGGCGCGTGAGGAGGAGCCAGAGAAGCCCTCGCCCTGCCCCCAAGCGCGCAGGGCGCGCCGCCAGTCCGCTGCCGTCGCGGAGCAACGGCAGCAGCGACAACGGGCGATGCGAGGCGGACTGGGCGCGCCGCTCCCGCCGCGACGCCGCCTGCATCAGCGCTAAGGGAGTCCTGCGGCCGAGGGGCTGGTCTTATCCGCGAGGGCGCCATGGAGAAGTCGCCCTTCAAAAGGTTTTCTAGCTCCTTACACTTCGGGCCCGGGGCGCGTCTCAACGCGAACTTCGAAGCATGTCGGGCGCCGAACGCATCGCGGGCATCGCGGAAAGGACGCCCGTACCATGGGCACGGCCTAGGCCGCATGAAGCCCGCGCCCGAAACGATGAGGGTCCTGGAGCACTCCGGTCATCGAAGGGCCCCAGCGGCCCGGACATTCAAAGATGGTATTGGAGGAGATCCTGCGCAGACGGCACTCGCATCTCTGGCAGGTGACTGCCAAAACAAGAGCGCGGGTCTCCCGCGCGAAGCCTTCAGCGGGCGCGCGCGCCCTCCTCCTCGAGCCCCCCGAGCCGCCCACGCGAGGATGGCCTTTCAGCGAGGAGTCAAGACATGTGCCTACACACAAAGACGTAGTGTTTGATGGCATGATCAACTTCGCGCGAGTCTGCAGGCGACGGGCAGCGCGCGCGGATGGCAGTCAACTCCGCGCCATCAACTGCCCGCTGCTCCTCTCAGTGGGCCGTGGATTCTTTGGGGGGCGACTGCTCCCAGTGATATCCACGGCAATCTTGCGCGCGGGCGATTCGCGATGGCCTTCGGCGCCCCGACGAGACAAAGCCCAGACTGGCGCAAGGGGGTGAACGCCGAAATTGGGAAGCAGGGCGCCGGTGTACAAGTGGCTTTGCCCACCGGCATCCAACGCATCATTCGACACTTCAAGCGCGCAGACTTCGTCTCTTCTTGTTTTTTTCCCGCGCGGACAGGCCAGGCGGCAACGACGTTCAGAGCCCGGCCCGGCAGCCCCGCCTAGGCCCGCGCCCTCAAGTTCTGGGCTCTCGCCCAAACTCCTCGGACGCATTGCTTGAATATTGCAGCGAGTCTAGGCGGCGATTGGCGCGCCAGAGGAATGAACCTGACAGCGAGCTCACCCCAAAAGAATTTCCCCTGAAGGGCTGGCGCCTCCGGGCCCCAGCGCCTGTCGCGCGGCGAACCGAAGCTTGCGTCCTAGCGCGCTGCAACTGGGAGACCAAAAACCCGCCGGTGCAAACCTTGGCGAGATGATCGCGAGATCAACGCCGATGCCGAGCTGGTCCACGAGGGCGCGCGGACTCCCCCAAGCCCCCCCCCCCTTCGCAGGCCCGCAGAATGGCATCCGAGATAGGGCCCTATCTCCGCGCGAACCACGGGGCCCTGCCAAGGCGGGGAGGCTTCTCCGCGGCAGGGGCAGCGCGGGGCGCTTCAATTAGAAACTCGGGCGCGAGTGCGTCGCCGCGCGCGCGCGCTGGAGCCGCGGTCGCGGCGCCGACGCCGTCTACCGCGCCGCCGCGCAGCACCGCGCTCTCGCGCCAACTGCTCCCAGCGGGTCTCGCGCTTCGCCGGGGCGCAGACCTGCTCCAAAATTTCGCTCCGCGCATAGAGGCCCCCATGACAGCTTGAGCAGCCCGGCGCAGCCTTGAGACTTGGCGAAGATGGGCGGCCATGGAGTCTAGACTTACTGCCAAGGCGACGCTCGCATGTGCGGAGACGCTTGGTCCCGGGCACCCTCTTGCGCCACCTCGGCGGCGCGGGCCCCGGGGCGCGCTCGGCGCTTTCCACGGGTCGATGCCGAGAGCCGTCGCCGAATGCTCTCCCATGCCACTGCGAACTTTACCTATCACTCTCTCGGCTACTGCTACTGCTTGACTGGGAGACGCCGCGAGACGAAGCTCCTGCTGGCTGCCGGGCTAAGGGATACCCTTGCTCTCTCACTATAGGAGGGCCGATGGCATCTAAATTGTCCGCCAAGCCACGAGCGGCCAACATTAAATCTGCCCCCGACCTGCAGCGGGTTAAGTCATTCGCATGAAGGGGCGTCATTGAATCTCGGCCCACGGCACTCGAGTGCAACTAGACAGACGGCCCGAGGGCAATCATGGCCTCCAATATGGCCGCTGTGCTGCTGGCCACAAGCTCTCGCCAATGCTGGATGAGATTCGCGGGGGGGGCGAGACGCAGCAAGCGCCGCGGCCATTTGCAGCCACTGACAATCACAATGGGGTGGGATAATAAAAGCGAAACGGTTCATCCAGGAGGAGCGCGCAAGGAGCGCGACCATCGTGCTGAAATAACATCCCACCTGGGCGCGCATATGGGATTTTCCCTTCGCTGGCTCTTTCAGCGAGCACCGCTCGCCCCCAGACCGCGTCCGCGGTCTCAAGGCTCCCGACCTCCCTCTCGCCCTTCCCCTCCGGGGGGGAATCTTAGAACCCGACGGGCCCGAGACCCCGCGGAAGCGCGCGCCTCCACGGCTCCCGAGGGCGGAAGGAGGGGCCTGCTTGGAAGGCCGCCCCGCCTCCGACGCTGCCCCCTCTGACAGAGCTCCAGCGTCGTGAGTTTCCCAGTTAGGCGCTTTGCCTGATGGGGTTAAACTCGGGGGCGACGAAATACAAAGGAGGCCAGTCCACAAGAAACCCAGCCCTGAGACCACAGGGCGTCCATTGACGTTTGGTGTGGGAACGTCACGCCTTCCATCGCAAAACCATCGAAACCCGAGACACCCAGGGCACCCTGGAGGCAAGCAGGGTGCTTCTTGGCTTTGGCCCTCACTGTAGGGGCGACTAGCCCAGGGGCGGGCATTACACGCATTCGCCCGTGATCCTCGCCGACGACGTGGACCGTCAGCGCCGATGGATACGTGTATCGCTCCCCTTACTGCGCTCTCCGCCCTTTTCGTCGCCCCCGAGAAGCCGGTGCTGCGGGGCACTTCCCGCTGGCGTTGCCGAGTTCCTCGGTGTTCAGCAGCGCTGCTTGGCAGAGGCGACCCCTGGCGTGCCTCTGGGTTCCTCGGCACTCCTGGGCTTTGCCTGGCAACGGCAGGCAGCGCTGAGCAGTGCCAACCACTACCAAGCAATGCGTGGCTCTGCAGTGCTTTGACTTCCCAGGACTTGCTCTCATCTCAGGCCGACTGTCGACGGCCCCTCCGAAGACGGCCCCGAGATCGTGGTGGAACGCCACGGCCAGAAACCCGGGGCTTCCGAGATGGGGCCCTGAAGGATGGGGACCTCGGGACGAGGGGCCTCAGGCTGTGGCAATCCAACCCGGGACCCCTTCCCATCGTGAGGGCCCCGTCCCTCGGGGCCCCATCTCGGAACCGCCGAGAGCGTCTCACGGCGTGGGAGGCCTGGGCCTCCGCGCGGCGCCGAGCGTCCGCCAGACGCACGTGCCAGATGCACGCGTGCCAGACGCCTGCCCGATGCCCTGGCTCTGGGCCGGTCCTCTTTGCGCGCGAAGAGCCGGGTCCCCCCCCCCGCTGGGGCCCGCAAAATTCACAAACTACGCGCCGGACGCACACACGCCAGAGGCATGCGCGACCCAACCCCCCCCTCCGCGGGCGGACTCCGTGTGAAGAAAGGGGCACCCCCATGGCAGGTCGAATTGCATAGTTGATACTACCCCTTTTGGCGACTAAGCCCACCCGCTCGCACATAGTTGACTCACTAGCAGCCTAGCCGACTTAACGTCACCCCAACAAAAACTCGACCGCGTTCTGTCATCCGAACCCGGGCAGCGCGGTCTGGCGCAAGCCGCCCGGCACTCTCGCCCAACGCTGGCCAAACCGACGCACTCTGCTTGACACCCCTCCGATTGAGGGCCAAAGGCCCGAGTACACAACGAAGCCCTGGGCCAGAGGCCCTACAAGAGACAGCCTGCCTTCGAAATTTTCGCAGCGTCGACCTCTGAACTCGGGGATGGACAGACCTCCCTTTAGCAAAACGTGGTTTGATGAACACGACCTCAGGCTCAAACCTGGCAGGCGCAAGCCTGGAAAATAGCGGCCACGGCGCCCTCTCGAGCCGAAAACGGACAATTCACTAATCGACGTGTCACTGTTGGGGGTTCTGTCCACCCCCGATGAACCAACTCCGCGCTGTCAACCCGCTGGAAGCCCCCCTGGGGCTCGTCCTGGCTGGCTCTTCGAGCTGCGCCCAGCCGTGGCGGAGGAGCCCCCCCCGACAGCGCCCGCAAAAACCACCGAACTGATCAACGACGCCAACCGACGCCAGACCGACGCTAAGCGACGCTAAATCGCCGCTAGTCTCGGGTCGGGCGAAAGGGGGGAATAGCAAAGGGGGGGAGTTGAGAATCAGCTCACGTAGCTGATTGTCCCGGCGCCTCCCCGCGCCGGAGGCGGCTATGTATCGAGGAATGGGCACCCTCGGTGAGGCCGAAACCAGCTGCATGCAGCAAATTTCGTGACCCCCCCTTTCCCAATCCCCCCCTTTCGTCCGGCCCGATAGTCGACGGTCACCGACGCCAGATCGGCGCTGTCCCATCGACTCCCAGACGCTAGCCGCGCGAGAGACAGAACTGCGAGGGCACACCAGGCCCCCATGATGTGCTTCGGCGAGGACATCGGGTGCCTTGGGCGCCAGGGAAAACCCCGACCCCTTTTCCCGAAAGCTGCTTTCTCACTCCCAGGTCGGTCTTTGCTGGTCCCGGAGCCCGGGCCCCCGACGGTCGAACACGGCCAGAGACCTCCCGTCGTGATCTTTTGCTGCGACGCTGGCACGTCTGGGGACGAGCAGACGACAGCGTGCGCCGCCAAGCCTCAGCAGGTCGTCGTCCAGCAGGTCGTCCCCCTCGCCCTCGAACAGCGCGCCCGCTTGTGAGGACCCCCGGCTCCACGACCCCGGCTCCGGTGTCGAGCCTGGCCGGCTCGCGCCCACCAGCACCCGCCTCGCCCTCACCTGCGACCCAGCCCGCTGCGGCCTGCCGCGGGGCGAATGCAGTACCGGGGGGTTTGGTGACCCCAATCCTAGAGGCCGCCCAAATGGGGTCCGAGCAAATGGGGTCGGAGGATCGCGACGCATCGGCGATCTACCGTCGATACGTCGGCGATGCATCGTCGACGTGGGCGATGCATCGGGGACGTCGACGAGAAGCAAATGGGGATCCACATCGAGCCGCATCGCCGATGCGGAGCGATCCTTCGACCCCATTTGGGAGGCCTGTAATATAGCAGCCCCAAACTTCGACCTTCCCTGAGATCCTGACGTCGCAATGTTGTGGCATCGGGTGTTTTCGCCCGGCTTCGGTCCTCGGGGATCCTCACAGACCGATGCGACTGACGAAAAAGCGGCAGAAGGGTGGGGTCCAGGGCTCTGGTCGTGATGGCCCGCTGTGCCGCAGATACTCAGGCGATGCGGTTCTTCAACCCGAAAATGATCCCTCGGTCTCGTCAACTGGGGGCCACTACCATGCCCAAGGACTATCAAACGCATCTGGGAATCCGGAGCGAAACATTGGCCCTGGTGAAAAGGGTCCAGAGCGGCATGAGCCCCATGGACAAAATCAAGACATCGGAGGTCTGGGCACTCGACACGAATCCCCGACTCCGCAGGGGCTTTCGACTGGACCAGACAGTGTCAGCCAGTCTAGACTCCAAGTGATAGGTTGTTGCCTGTGGATGCGCAAGCTGGGTGGTGCACGATGTCTGGTGCAACCATGTGGTGCAAGCTATGCGGTGCAAGCTATGCAGTGCGAGCCATGCGATGCAATCTGTGTGGGGCAATCTGCGTAGTGCAAGCTATGTGGTGCACGCTATGTCGCGCAAGCGATGAAGTGTAACAGTCGTTCGAGGCCATGTGATGCAAACTGTGTGGTCCAATATGTGTGATGCAAGCTTTGTGGTGCAACATACTGTGGTGCAGGTCATCTGGTGCAGTGTCTGTGGTGTGAGCGACGTGCCACAACCTATGCGGGCGGAAACAGAGCTAGGCCTCGTCCGCAAAACCCAAGTGGCTAGTGCAAGGAGAGCCGCACGCGCTCGCATTGAACACCAACCGTGCACCAGTCGCGTGCGCATGGCGGGCAGACGTGGTCGCGCGGCGTCGCTGTGGATTTCGAACACGGGGCGCGTGCGAGTTTATTGGTGTCTTTGTCCACGCCTCTTTCCTTCATCAACCCTCGTATTCTCTTCGCCGCACCCCGTTTCCTCCTCCTCCTCCTCGTCCTCCTCGTCCTCGTCCTTGTCCTCCTCTTCCTCCTCTCCCTCCTGTTCCTCCTCGTCCTCGTCCCCCTTTTCCTCCTCTTCCTCCTCCTTCTCTTCCGTTTCGTCGTCCTCCTCCTCGTCCCCCTCCTCCTCTTCTTCCACTTCTTCTTCTTCTTCTTCTTATTATTCTTATTATTCTTCCACTTCGTCCTCTTCTTCCTCTTTTTCCTCCTCCTCCTCCTTCTGCTCCACCTCCTCCTCCCTCCCGCCGTCATCATGATTCCCCTGTCCCCTGTCCCTGTTCCGCCGCCCCGTTCCCACTCTTCCACCCCCCTGTATGCTCCAGCCACGGACATCCCTCCTTTTGGCGAGCAGCACGGGTCGCCTCCCAGGCCGCAAATACAGATTGTGCTCCTCCCCCTCCCGCGTGTCATCCGCTGCCGCCGCCTCCCGCTCCATCTATAGTTGCACGCGTCGCGACTGCACACACCCTTACTGAGAGCGGTAAGTCCTGTTCGGTGTGTCACGGACCAGCGACTCTAGCTACTATGTCCGAATGGCTAAAAAGTGATTGCAACGCTTTAGTTTCAATGGACGGTACGGTGCTTCGGGTGAAAAGGGGGTGTCGTATGCATATCGCTGGAGGTTGGGCCCAGCCCTCACGCCCTAATGCTTCATCGTTCGTCAGGAATGTTGTATTGCAGTGTATGCGGTTACGTCGGACAGTCCCAGCTCAGAGAGTCAGGTGCCGTCTGCAAGCTACCAGTTTCCAAGGCTCGCCAAGGATAGCTTAATAGATTTCGGCGCGACGAGTTTCCCAGGTGCAAGTGATCTGAGCCTCGAGCAATCGCTTGAGCAGCGGATGCATATTCATTTTTCGCTACGCGAAGGCTGTACCTCCTGCAATTCCTGTAATTCCCTGTGTCCTGTCTTTGCGCCTCCCTCCTGTCTCGCCCTACCCCCCGTCTACTTATCGCCATCTCGCATCCATCCCCCACATCCCCTTTGGATGTTTTCACTGTGTCCCCGTTTTCTATATACTCCCCATAAGCGCGCGGACCCACACGGGGGGCCTTCGTGGCGCAAAGCACGAAGAAAAGACACGCGGCATCTTACTAGCATGTTGTTTTGGTGTGCCCCCCGTGCCTTCTCAATATTCCAACACGGCACCCAAGACCCCTAGCCCAAATCAGGGTGCACATCACGAATTATTATATATATATATACACGCAATCAGGGCACAGTAAGAGCGAAGATCAAATATGAAAACGTCAGTGAGGACGCCCAGTCCTTGAGCACGGAGAACTCGTCACAATTGCAACCGTGATCACGGACAAAGCGCGGCAACATGGGTGTTGCGACCTCGCGCCCCATGCGTTGCTCGGAATAGTCCAGGCATGTTCGGCTTCGACCACGACCCCACATCGGAGGCCAAAAAAACATTCGGGCCTCATCGGAGTCGCGGGCATGAAGGGCGCGGCTAGGCCCGCAAGCTGACGCAAGGCCTCCGGGCCCTCGGGGATCGCGGGCCCCGCGAGGCTAGCAAAGTGCAGGTGCGAATGTCTCTGAAACACTATCTGAATCAAGCGCGCCCCGCAAGGCGCGCCGCGGGGGGCGCGAGGCCACCGAGCCCTGCGAAACCAGCGATGCCCGTCGGGCCACCAGTTTCCGGACGCTCACGGTGCCAACCGCGTCGCAGGCCCCGCGGCACATTGCGCGACGCGAGCCGTTGGCGCGCATCTCAGGAAAGCCCATCGTCGCAGAGACAAAACCGGCGAGGCCCATCAATCCAGCTGGGCTCGCCGACAAAACAAGGCCCGAGAGGCCCGCTAGCTGCGCGAGGGCAGTGTAGCGCGCGAGCAACGCCGCTTGGGGGCATGAGATTTCGCTCGCGGCGGGCTCAAATCCAATGGGGCCCCGCGTCGCGAGATCCCGCCCCATGGGGCCCTACCCATTAGGGCCCCTCCCCGCAGGGTTCCGCCCCGCAGAGCCGAACCCAGGGCCCAAACCCTGGCGCAGTTCCACCGCGCAGTTTCCTTCTCAGTAAGACCGAGCTCCGAAAAAGTTTTCGCCCGTGGTCACAAGCCGAAGCGCCCCGCCACGTGGCCCCTGAGACATGCTATTGCACCAGCTTGGCCTATCCACTCGGAACGACTTTGGAGCTAAACATGTGCTGCGTGCGCGCGCCAGCATGCGCGCACTTGGTGCGCGCGATTTGACGGCGCCATCGCACTACTTGACGCTTCGGGGCCGGTGAAACGCTTGAGGCGGCGATTCCCGCTTGAGTTTTGCGGTGCGTTGGCGAGAGTTTGCGCGCTGCGCTTTGCGCTTCGCGAGAGAAGCGACTGCTTCTTTCTACTGTCTCTTTTCCAGGGAACACGGTCTGCCCCAGAAGCCAATGGACGCCACCTGCTCAAATATCAACATCAACTTCAAACGCGCCGCCATTAATGATCTGCCTCTGGCAAAACCCAACACGTGAGATCACGCCCCCGTAGCCCACATTTTTGTGGCTCGCTCCATTTCTGCGCAAAACTCCTGGACATCCAAGAGAACAAGACCAGCGATGGCGCATCAACTCCAGATTCGTCTGTCCACGACTTTGCGCCACGGTGGTAAGTGCACAGATCGCAGTCAGGCTTCGGGCGCGTAGATTGCAGCCTAAGTCTCCTCATCCAGCGCTGGTTCCAGACATCAGCAATGGGACGTGGATCTGCTCGGGGCACGGGTCGACAACATCTTGGCCATCAGTCTCGACGCCGGCGCCGCGGCGACCGACGCCGCTGCCTGCGCGCGAAGGTGCGCGGGTCCACGCTGGAACTCCAACCGCGGTCCTGCAGTGCAATTGGCGGCGGCGGCGCTTGCGCGCCCTCGCCGCAGCAGAGCCGGATCCACCGGCGCCGCCGCTCTGCCGCGGGCGGGCCGCCGCGCCAGCTGACTGATCTCTGCAAGGCCCCCTCTCCCACTCAACTTCTTAAGATTGCCTTTGCGTGCGATTGCAGGCGCCCCCGGCTCAGTCATGGGATATTCGAGCAAAGCGGCGTAATGGGGAGGGCCACTCGCGTTGAACCTCTGGCAACCACGCCCAACAAAAGTGGGCTGGACGAGCGCGCTTGAAATACTTGCGTTTGGACGGCAACTCCCCGTTGTCGCACTCAGGTTGGGCCCTCGGGAACATTGGTCACAATGCGGTCGACGCCAAGGAATCCCTGGGAATCCTCGGAATGAGTGTCCCGAGGTACAGAATGGGTTTGAAAGACCGCTTGGCTTTCGTCCGATTCTTTCCGCTACCTCCCCCCCTCTTCTCCGCCGCCGCACATCATGCGCCCCCCCTGCTGGCGCCGTCGCCCACTCTCTCTCCGCCGAGCGCAGCGCTGGCTAGATGGCGTCTGCGAGAGGCAACGCGGGGGCTGCCGGGCGACGGCCAGACAAGAAGATGCATCCGTCCAGATCTGAGGCCCCAGTGCTCTGGAGAAACATATTGAGCCGATCCCCATCTGCAATTCCAGCCATTGCGAACAGGTCAACACGGGCAGGAGGCGGGCCCATGAACGCGCCAAAGCTTCTCGACCGTCGGGGCTGTCATGAGATTGACGTCGATGCTCGGCGCGCGCACGGCAGCCATCTCTGCGCCCGTCAGCGCCCGCGGCCCACGGACCATGATACTCACGCTGCAGGAGCGACACAAGCAGCCGCCCCCGCGCTGCCAATGCGCATCCAACATGGCTCTTGAAATCTCGAGCGTCCAATGCTACAGCGCGGTCTCCGCAACCTGTGTTTTAGCGGCAAGACTTGGGTAACCCCTTCGACGGGTGGCAGACGCCGCCGTCGTCGGCGCCCTCTTCGACGGAATGCTGGAAGCCGCTGCGCGAGAAATCAAATCGATCCGCGAAAGAAATCGTTTTTGCGCCGCACTAGCCGCCGACGCGTGAAAATCCATGCGCGTGGCACACACAGAAAAAATCCGCATCTCTTGCATATGCGACCGGCAACTCTGAAGAGTTCAAAAATATAATGCGTGTTGATTCTAGCCGCGCAGATGAGGAAGGCCGCGTGACTGTCCCGGGGCGTCATCTGGGCATCTCTTGCGCAACTCGCTCATTGGGCCCCTCCATCGCGTTGACGTCCAGGGCGATGTTGACGATGGACTCGGCCTCGGCACCGAGAAACCCATCGCGCGCCACGCCGCCCTCCGTGATCTGGTCGATGGAACGCCCGAGGGGGCCATCTGGATCCATGACCTGCTGAATCACCCTGCAGCGCTCATCAGGCCCCGAACGTTGCACTGTCGCACGAGCGCGTCCATCGCGCCAGCCTCTCCCAGCCTCAACGCCGAAGTCAACAATGAGGGACATAGCCTTTCCCCAGGGAGCACGGGCACCATCGAAACGCGACCCAGAGACCGAGCGAACGTGCCAGAGACGAGCGAATACGTTCCCAAAGGTTGCGAGCATGGCCGCGCCGATGTTCACCAGTGGAAATAAAAACTTCTCGGTTCGATGTTCGCTCGGGCCCTCTCCGCACTTTGCCAACATATCAAACGATGGCGCGAGCGGCCCCCCCCTGCCTGCCGCGGCGACGCGTCGCCGCGCAAATTACTGTTCCATTGATGGGGCTCGAGCTGCCGGTGCGACCGCCCACGACATCGCTGCCGCGCAATCGATTCGAACGCAAGCGAAAGGCAATGCAATGCAGCCGACTGTCTCGCCGCGATGTTCAGCGCCCGACTGGCGGGCCCCGCTGGATCTTATTCCGCGCCTGACGGGGCAGATCTCCCAGGCGAAGTTGATCGAAGCCACGAGGCGCATCAAGCAATTCGAAAATAATGCGAACAGGCTTGCTGCCAGCATGGCGTGCCACCGCAGACGGTGGATCCAAGAAGCGCGCCTCGAACGTTGCGTGGTCCATGGGGACTGCGCAATGCGCGATGAACTTGGCCTGCCCCTGAGAAGGCGACCCCTCTGGACAAGTTTGCCATGCAGTTTCCAACCCAGCGCCGCAGCACGAAAGAAATCAACGCTCAGCAGTGCGAGCCCAACCATATGCAAACCCATGGCCACGACAATGACTGGCGATGCCTCTAAATCGTGCTCATCGCAGGAACGCTGCTGACCTGCTCCGAATGTCTCGGGCACGCCATTCCCTTCCCATCCCGCGGTCCCCATCCCATGGTTCCCAATGCGTTGATGGGGACTTGCGCTGCGACTCGCGCTGCGCATCCACATGCGCCACCGAGTGAACATCTGGACATTGCAACGCGTGCGATCAACGATCGCGGCGCGCGCTGCTTTCAGCCCCCTCGTCTCATCGGGGTTATATATGCTCCCTCTCGGGGAAAACAATCAACGCGTGCCTACATCCCAAAAGCGCGCCTACTGCACGAACCGCGCACGCGCGGCCCCCGAACGATTCCGCGGGACCATCAATCAAAGCTCGGCTTGCCAACGGTGGCCCGACGCAACCCCGCCTATGTCATTCTGGAGTTCGTGGGCATGTTCGGCGCGGGCCGGTGGGTGGGTGGGTTTTGCTCAAATGCACGAGGGGTCGCAACATGGCGACGCGTGAGCGCGTGATCCACCGCGCTCGGCCCCCGCCATGCCCCTTGACCAACGGGGCGCGTGGTGCGTTGCATCCGATGGGCCGAATGGATCCCCCACCGCGTTGAGGTCGCGCGCGGGCCACCTGGGCCTGGCCTGCGCGAGCGCGCCCACCGGGGTCGCACGTGGGGCCCCTATGAAGCGCGGCGCGCGCCCTTCAAGGCGCGGCGCGAAGGCGGCCGCGCGCGCAACTATCAGCGCGCCCGCAACCTTGACCGCCCACGCGCGCGCGGCTCCATTGGACGCGACTGCGGGAAGGGCGCAGCAAGCCCGCCCTGCGCTGCAAGTCGAAGTCGGCGCTCCCCGACGGACTCTGATAGGCGGGCGCGACCTCGCACGATTGCGCTCGGGCGCCGTTTGCTGATGGCGCTCTGCCAATGAAAAGTACCCGCGAGCTCAGGACACCTGGAGCACGGATCGCGCAGCCTGCGCGTGGCGCACTTGAGATGGACTGCAGAGCTACGTGGCAAGAGCGCAAGCACGTCCGTGTCATTCAAGCGACATCTCAGCAACGGATCGCGATGCGCGACGTCTACGCAGAGCGCTCATACACGTGGCTCATCTTCAAAGGTTTGCGCTACAATCGTGGATGCACGCGGCTGTATGCGGTCGCCAAACGCGTGAAACTAATGCGTGCGTTGCCCCACTCGTATTCCGTAACTTCTTGCCGACCTAACGTTGGCGGGCGAAGTGGCCGTTTCCGCACATGCAAAGTACTGACCCATCCAGCCGCTGGAGCCGGAGTCGCAATATAGGGCATGTCAGCGCACTTGGCGATGGTCTCGCAAGCATACTTGCAGCCATTGGGGATGCCAGGAAACCCCATACTGATGCTGGCCAACAAGAACGGAAAACCAGAAATCACGATCGGAACAAATTCCGTATCACTGCTGCTGTCGATCTCCGCGCGGACAAACGAATGAGCGTCGTTAAACATCATCCGCATGGAACTCACGGTGTGCAGCATGTGAACACACAACACCACAGAGCACGAATAACCTGGTCGCCATGCGGGCCCCCGGACATGTGAAAGAACAATGAGCCACTCGCGTATGTGGGTAAGTAACAGGACCTGTAGGGCCCTTGGACAAACTTCGCAATGCAAGTGCAAGAATTCGCGCTTGGACCATCCTGGCACAGCCAAGTCGCTATCAGGTCTGATGCCTCCGCGTCCCCACAATCACTCACCGCCTTCCTCGCGCACGCATGCCCAACTCAGCGTCGTCATACTCAGGCTTCTTCGTGCCCAACCAGTCATGTCCAGACGTGCCAATAACAACTCGTATTTCCAATCGAGCACACTAAGATGCACTCATCTTAAATTCGCTCCATCATACGAACACTTCGCCCATCAGCACATGCACTCCCGCTCAAACTCACCCACAATCATACTCACGCGATCAGACCACTCACGATCAAACGCAAGCATACTCAGAAAGGCATACCTTATCCTCACATTGCCACCCACACTCAAACCACTCACACTCGCTCTCTGCACTCGGTCAAAATCGCACGTGTTCACCGCGGTGCTGCAGGCATGGCACGTGGGCACCCCAAGGAGGAACCGCCGACGGGTACGGCACTTACCCGTTCGCGGCCAGATCGTGGGGCTAACGGCTCGTCTGGCGTCGCCGACCCTTCCAAAGCGTCATTGCCACCACGATGTAGCAGACAGAACAACTTGGCATTGACAAAAACAGACGCCAGGAAGAGGAGCACTTCCCCACTCGCGAAGAGAAGAGTTTGTTCGCCGCCAACCTCGTTCACATCCTCCTCCACACCTGAGGGGCAACGATCGGGAAGAGGACTGGCACAGGAGGGGGGGAACATCGACCTGGAATCGGCGATACATCGCCGACAGATCGGCGATGGGCCCCCGATAGCGAATTCGAACGTTCCTGTGCGGGGTGCGGCTTCAGACCCAAATTGAAGGTCAATGGGCGAAAGGGGGGTCGATGCGTCCCCCCCCCAGCAGTTACGGATAGCAAGATGCGCGGGAAGGATGCAAGGGCCTCGGAGGGCCATGCCGACACTCTTCGAGCGGGGCGCGGCCAGCGAAAGAGGACAAGGATGGGCCGAAGGCAAACGAACGGAAGGGATGCAGAGGCAACGTTGGAGAACCGCGCATCCTTGCTATCAGGGTTGACTGCATGCCTATCCCCCCCTATCGTTGCCCCTGGCACCCCGCCCCCCCGTCCTCTCCCGCCCACTGGCCACGCAGGTTCTCGCCAGGGCTGGCGGCGCGCACAAGGGGGCAGCGCGAAGGGGCCGGCCTTCTAATGGCGGGGAAGCCTCCAAGAAGACAGGGGGCCCTCTCAGACGGCCCCCCACGGCTGGTGAGAAGCCTTCTCGGAAGCCTCCAGGCTCGGGGGGGGACGAAAGGGTAGGACAGCAAAGGGTAGGGTGAGAATCAGCTCACGCGGCTGGTCTTCCTGGCGCCCCCTGGCGCCGGGAGGCGCCCGTGCATCGAGAAGTGGGCCCGGCGGCGGGGCGGGAACCAGCTGCCTGCAGCAGATGTCGCAAGCCCTTTCCGCACCCTGCCCTTTCGCCCGGCCCGACAGGCCCTCCTGAGTAAGAAGGCCCTTTTGCATCCCCGCAGGCGCGCCACCTTCTCGGACGGCGGCCGCCCCCCTCGCGCCCGCCACCTCGTGCGCGCCGCCACCCGGGGATCAAACGCGACACACAGAAAACCAGAAAAAACACAACTGCCTCCAGCTCATCCAGGGCCTTCTGTGGAACGAGGGGCCCCCGCAGCGCCCTGCCGGGTGGGGTGGACGCGTGCGAACGTTGTTCTGCGTGGCACGATGTGAGGGGCGGACGCGCGCGAAAGGCCCTCGGTGGAGCTCCCCATGGGGCCGCGGAGCGCTGCGCTGGCCGGGGCGGACGCGCGCGAGCGTCGCCACCGGGGCCCGCCTGGATCCAGCGGGCGGGGGGCCCTGCGGCGGGCGCGGCGTGAGCGCCCCGGCGCCGGACAGCGCGCTGGGCGTGCAGGACGGGGAGGACCCCTCGCCGACCGACCACAGCCGCGGGAGCTGCACGCTTCGGGGGCTGCCGGAGGTTGCCCCTGGCCCCAGGTGCCCCCCCAGCCTCGCGCTCCCTTTTGGAGCCCCCAGGCCCCCTGCATGGGCCTCGCGAGGGGTGCTCCGGAGGCCGTGGAGGCCACCAATTGGAAATCCTGGGGGCACCCTGGGCCAGGGGCGTGTCTAGCAACACCCGAACATCCCCTGTACTGGATGAGCAAGCAAGTGCATAAACATATTTTGGGGGAGCTCGGCGCGGATTTCTTGGAGCGGCGCTGGGCCCCAATGGTGGCGTCTCCGGCGCCGCCGCTTCCTCGCGTCAGGGGGGGGTTTAGCGACGATCCAAGAACTCCGCGCGGACAGTCTATATATATATATATATATATATATATACATATACATCTATATATATACACACATACATAAATAGAAATACACACACATACCTATAACAGCGCACCGGGCTCGGGGGCCGAGGGCCGGAACCTCGACCACACATGTGGGGACCGGGGCCCAGGCCCGCCTCTGGGAGGCCTAAAATGGCCCCGCGGAGCCCTCAGACAACAATCCCGGCGGCCACAGACGGTCTCGAGACACCCCCAAGACGCCGGGCAGGGGTCTCTGGCGCCGCACGATGCGCTTTGAACTCCCCAGAGACCCCCAAGACGCCCCAAGAGGCCTTTAAGATGCCGCCCGAGAGCGCCCCGAGAGGGCTAAGTCGCTGATTGTCATAAGGTTGTTTCTCCATGTTTGTTGCATTCTCGCTGTTTCGTGCTTCCAGCGCCACAGCACCGCCTAAAAAGCTCCCAAACAACTCCAAGACGGCCCAAGAGGCCCCCAAGAGGGCCCCCAAACGGCCCAAGAGAGCCCTGAGACGGCCCCAGAGCCGCCCAAGACGGCGCAGGAGGGTCCCAAGAAGGCCTTTCTTTCGCTGTTGCTCATGGGGACCAGATCCGAAGGAGAGCACTGGCATCGCAACATCATGACTGACGAGCGTGTCCGCGAAGCTGCCCACGGGGTTGTTCCCTGAGGAGGCTTATCCGATGTATGAAGCCGACGTTCTCTGCTTAAAAGATGCGGACCACACTCGGCCAGATGCCGTACGGACCCCGCCAGCACGTGCCCGATGCACGCAACTAAAAAATCAAGCTCTCCGCCCCAAGATGCCCCCATGAGGCCCCAAGATGCCCCCAGGAAGCACCCAAGAGGCCCCAAGAGGCCCCGAAGAGGCCCCAAGAGGCCCCCAAGAAGCCCAAAAGAGGCTCCAATAGGCTCCAAGACGGCACCCAACAGGCTTCAAAACTTTTTTTAAGAGGCACCGAAGACATGCCAAGAAGGTCCCATGACAACTTCAAGAAGCAGCCCAGGATGCTCCGAGGAGGCCCCAAGAAGCTAGCTAGAACTTGAGCGCGCGCGAAGCGTGCGCGATAGTTCTAGTATATGTATATAATATATGTATGTAAATATGTGTACGTGTATTGTTTATGCAATTGTTCTTCTTCGACTTGCCCCCAGCCCCTCTCGAGAACATGTCGCCACGAAGTACATACCCCAGCTCGGGCGTTGCCGGAGGCGGTTCTGGCCCACGAGGTTCCCCCAGCTCTCTGCACGCCATTGTGGCACCTCGTTCTGGCCCTCCGGGCCTCCTCATGGGGGGTTCTCTGGAAGCCACGTGCCCCTCCCATAGGGGGAAGCTGGGGTCACCTTGGTTGGGCCCGGGCCACCTCTGGCAACACCCGGCGGGGGGCCCAGACCCGCAGCGGCACTCCTCCTGCACGGCGTGGAGCCCCAGGGATCTTGATCCGTTCCCCAGGAACGAAGCCCTGCGAATTATGGGAAACACGATTTCCCTCAAAAACAACACTCCATGAGCCACAATCGTGTATCCCATACTTTTTCCATCAGGGAAAACGCAATCCCGGACGACTGCCCAGGAACTGTTTGCAACCCGTGATCGGTCCTGGCGACGTCGACACCGGCGGCCCCACAGGGGGCTCGCACGCCCGACGTGGGTACGAAACTGTGGGCATGATGCACCACAAGTGGTCAAAACCGACAGCGGCCGCTGCTGGGCAGGTGGTCTCTTTAGAAAAAGAAGAATCGGCATGAACATTAAACTTTTGCCGCTCCGCGCGGATGTCTTGGATTGGACTCCCCCTCCCCGGCGCGCGGAGCGCGCCAGGGGCGGCGCAGCAGGCGCCGCCAGGGAGACCCCAGCGCAGATCCGAGAAATCCGCGCGGATCGCCAGAAGTTCAAGTTATGCTTAAGTCGGGCCTGTCCCCCTACGGGGGGATTTTCGACGAAAAATACAAAACACCCCCGAAGTAATCAGAAACAAATCCAAAAATAATCAGGGGACTATTTTTTAAAGTATTGTTTGACCTTTCGGGGGCATGTTTTTGTCATTTGTTCGTCGACAATCCCCCTGTAGGGGGACACGCCCGACATAAAGTTATGCTTGTGCCGTTCTTCGTTCTTCGAACGGGGGGGCCAAAGACCACACGCTCCCCCGGCTGTGCCCGGTCCGCCTCGCTGCCGACGGCATCGGCGGTCCGCGACCCGCTGGCCGTGGACTCCGACTCGGACGTCGTGCGGCTCGCCGCGCTGTCTGGGGCGAGCTGGCCGTCCGCGAGCGCCTTCGGACGAGAGGTCCCCGACATGCCCACGCCGTGTAAAGATCACAACGGGCAATCTCTGGCCGTTTGGCAGTGGGACGCACATAGACCTGCTAGTACTAGATGTCCTCCTTGGAGGCGCACGTCCGACCCGAACACATAGTACACTCATCTTGTAGTACATCGTTTCCCGAACGGGGTGGCCAGAAAGCGCCCGCCACGACGCGTGTACTATACGATTTCTCGGTGCGCGCATCGCCCCTGCGGGGGGTGACGCCGATGCAAGGGGGCCTTCCCGGGCCCCGGGGCCGTCAAATAACGACTCGGGTTCACAAAACCCTGCCGCCGGAAAATGGTCTGGACTTCCAGGAGGCCCGTGCCGGGGCCCCTTCTGACAAGAAACAAGACATTGCAGATGCATGTGGCTGCGAGCTTTCGTCGGAGGCCCCCCAGATGAAGCTCGCGAGCGACGAACATGTCCATGATCACGCCCTCGCGTTCTGGAATCTGGGGCGCGGTCCCACGGACCCGCCTACATGCGCTCCGCGTAGGGCATCCGCGCAAAGCCGTCCCGTATCCATGGGGTCGCGGCAAGGCCGTGGATGTGGCTATGTTTCCCGCCCGCGAGCCCTAGGCTCCGATGGGCCTGCTCGTGCCTCCGGCTGAGGCCCACCAGATCGAGCCCCCTCGGCTGAGACCAAGCCTGCTCCAACTGGGCTCAGCGTCGCTAGCTATAGCCCAACTGGAAGCCCACCAGATTGAGCCCCATTGGGCCTGACTGGGCCTGCTCCAACCAGGCTGATGCCGCCGCCCGAGAAAGCACTAAGTCCAATTGGAGGCCCGAGGCCCACTGGATGGAGCCCCATTGGGCCCGACCGGGCCTGCTCCAACCAGGCTGATATCGCCGCCCGAGAAAGTACGAAGTCCAGTGGGAGGCCCACTGGATGGAGCCACACGGCTCCGACCAGACTTGCTGCAACCAGGATTGGTGTCGTCTGGCGCCTGCAGGCCGTACAGCTTCTGCATCCACGCGAGGGTCCTGTCCACGCTGGGGATCTGCGGTAGGTTCGCACGGCGTCGGCGCGCGCATATGTTTTGACACCGCGTCGATCCTTCGAACTTGAACCGATCGCAGCCCGGATCGTTCAAGGTTGGATTCCGTCGGGTCCTGTGGCGTGACCGCGCCCCTCAGTGTTTCAGCGTTGTTCTCTATCATGCGAAACGCAACCTTGAGCGCCTTCGCCGGCGTCGCGAGCGCACTACCGCCGCAGAACCCTACGGTACCCCTCTCCACTGATCTCCGGGGGACGTCCAGTGTCCACCTCGGCGATGCTGGCCAGGCCCATCCTGGGGCCCAGGATCGGCCCCGCCGCGATCGGTGAGGGGGGCAGTCGTCGTCCGCGGAGAGTTGGAAAAGAGTCCCCGCGTCTCGGGGCGCGGCATGTCGATATTTTCCCGCTCTCTGAGGCTGGGATATCCCTGTGAACCACACACATATCACACACATCTAGACATATGTGTGTTAGCCAGCGTGGACCCCAAACAGTGTTTCTAGCAGTTCGTTGCAACGAAAGTTATACAATATATATATATATGGTGCAATATCTGTGGTGCATGCTATGTAGCGCAAGCTACGTGATGGAATACATGTGCTGCCATGTGATGCAAACTAGGTTGAAAACTAGCTGTGATACAAGCTATGTAGTGCAAGCAATGTGAAACAGTCAAGGTGCTGGAATAGATGTGGAGTAACATATGTGGTACAATGTATGTTGTACAATGTATGTGGTGCACAGTGGATGTTTTGCATTCGTTGTGAAGCAATCATATGTGGTGAGTGTAATACGTGTGGTTCTGGAGCTATCTACGCGCGCGTGCGCGCCTCCCCCATCTCATCCCCCCCCTTGCCCCTCCCCGCGCCCTCCCCTGTCGTGTCGTCCCTTCGTCCGGCGTTGTCTCTGTTCTCTGCCACTGGGCCCCCATTGCGTTGGTGCAGGGTGTAGTAGTGCAATGAAGGTGGTGTGCTATATTTGGTGCACTACCCCATGCCGTGCAATCTATGTCGAGCAATAGAGGTTGGGCCATCCATGTGGTGCAATATAGGCTGTGCAGTCAATGTTGTGCAACCTGTGTGGTGCAGTCTATGTGACGCAGACTATGTTGTGCAAGGTGTGTGGAGCAATACGTGTGGTGCGCAATAGATGGTCCCGCCGGCCCTGGGCTGAGATGGTCTAGCGATGTGTTCTTTCCTCTTGCAAAAACAGTCTCTCATTCGGGGAGGGGCCCCCTCCCCCTCCCCTCCCTGAGGTTTGTTGTCGGGGGGGGGGTCGCGAGGTGGCAGGGGCTCTTTTTTGGGCCCGAGATGGCCCCACCAGGGCCTCCCATGCTCCACGATGGCTCCCAAAGCGGCCCAAGATAGCCGAGGATGGTTCAAGAAAGCTCCCGACAGGGCTCGCGGAGGCCCAGCGAGGGCCACAAGACGGTTCCAAGTGCTGTCGGAGCCCCCCAGACCCCCTCCAGAAAGTCCACTTCCTTCAAACACCTAAGGATCACCTATGTACGTGTTCTGCCTTCTCGCCTTTTCGCTTCCGATGCGCTTTTGAGGCCTCAAGGTTGTCCCGAGATGGCCCAACCTAGGAGGGGCCCTAGAGGGCCTTAGAGGCCCCCACAACGGCCAAAAGAGAGCCCAAGATCGGCACAAAAACGTCCCAAGAGGGTCCCAAGAGATGATTCTGATGGCCCCAGTCGGGAAGGCGGCAACTTTGGTCTCCAAGATGGCTCCAAGAGGCCCTGCAGGATCCCCAAGGGACCCCCAAGAGAGCTCCAAGAGGGCCCTAAGAGGGCCTCCAGAATCCCAAAAGAGTCCCAAGAGGGCTTCAAGAGGCGATGTTGAGGGCTCTGTCCTCGACCTCGTTGTCCTCCTCCTCGTCCTCGTCCTTGCCCTCTTCGTTTCCCTTTTCCGTTCCTCCTCTTCCTCGTCGTCGTGGTCGTCGTCGTCGTCTTCCTCCTCCTCCTCCTTCCCTCGCCCGCATGCGGGCCCCTGGGGTGGCCCGACGAGACCCTCCAAGGCCACCCCGCTGCTCCAAGAGATCTCTCTGTTCACCCTGGTTGCCTGCTTTCTGTTACTACATGTGTGTCTTCGTTGCTTTCCCGCCAGCCCTCCATGGGCGGATTTCTGAATGGGCTGGTGGGGCTACGCGAAGCCTGAGAATGTGTGCAATCCGCGTGGAGCAATACATCCGGCGATTTCGGCGACGGCGACGCTCTAGCCGCCAGACCGACCCCCCCCCAGCCCAGACGACGGGCGACGGCGAGTCGGCGACGGGGCGGCGACGGCGACTACATATCCGCCAGACCGACCCACCACCATGTTGCTGATTGCAGAAATGAATACCCATGAGTGCAAGCACTGTTTGGGGAATCCATGAATCTGTGACAATAAGAGCTACAAATCAACATTGTGCGCAGCACACAAAACTTGCGTATCAATACGATTGTACATCTTGATGCTTACATATACGTATGCATACACACGTAGATGCACATACATGCATGAATGCATGACCACGCTCCGCCCCAAAAATCCGATGCCTCGATTTACAATTCGGGGTCCTCGAAATCCCGATCCCATCCCCATAAAACCGGTATCTCATCCCGAGCCGCTTCTTGACAGTCCTGGGGCCGTGCGAGGGTCCCCGATGCGAACCTTGCAGAAAACATCGTCCGTCGTGTTTTTGTTCACGGCGCGATGGGTCTGAGTATCCGACGCCCTGTGTGACTCTCGGGGACACGCCCCTCCAAAGCGGACAACCCCCGCGATCCTCTGCCGCCGCCTCCGGTCCAAGTCCTGGCGCCTCTGCAGGCGCGAGTAGTGGAAGCCGGGCACTGCCTTCCTCAGAGGAGGAGGAGGAGGAGAAGGAGGAGGAGGAGTAGGAGGGAGGAGGAGCAAGAAACGGTATGAGAGTAAAGTGACGGAGGTCATCTCGTACTTCTTGGGTCTGCACTGCGCCACCTCCCTGGCGCGCGGAGCGCGCCTGGGAGGGGGTCCTAGCGCCGATCCGAGAAAACCGCGCGGAGCTCCGAAACTTGCTCGATTCCACCTCGACTCCTCGCTACCATCGTTCGTCACTCCTACGACGTTCATCGATTCCACCTCGACTCCTCGATGTCATTTCCTGTCATTCCCACTCCTAGGCCCCTCGGCCCCTCTGTCGCTCCTCGATCCTCGTTCGATTCCTGTGCTCGCGCACTTTTCTGCGCATCGGCTCCTTGAGGAGGCCCGCTCCACCTCGTCGTGGGTTGCCCAGAGGTGCCCCTGGCCCAGGGTGCCCCCAGCTTTGCGCTCCACTTGGGGGCCCCTGGGGCGCTCCCCTGCGCCTCGTGATGGGGTGCTCTGGAGGCCCCGGGAGCCGCCCTGGGAGTCCTGGAGGCACCCTGGGCCGGGGACGCTGCTGGCAACTGAGCATCGTGTAACCGATCCCCATCCCCACCAGCGTGGACTGGGCCCCACTGGCCGATTTACCCCCCCTGATGGGGACATAGGCTGCTCTCTTCGGGTTTCGAGGGGCATATCCCCAACTGAGTTGGCGAAACGGTGGGGCTCGAGATGTGGATGGGGATGGGGATAGGGATCGGCTACACGATACTGAGCAACACCCACGCCTCATCGGCAACTGCCTTCCCCGCGCTGCGGTCGGCCCGCGCGGCCAGCGGCCGCCAGCCGTTGTTCTCCCGCCGCACGTACCAGTCGTCGGTGCCGGGCGCCCCGTCCGCGGCGTAGTTGCGGGGGGCGAAGGAGCCGACGTCGCACACTGCGCCGTGGGTGAAGACCTTGTAATATATGGCAGGGGGGAACCTGGAGCCCCCGAGCCGGAAGCGCACGTGGGCCTGCATGGCGGGGTCCAGCAGCATCGACTCCAGCGGCAGCACCGTCCGCAGGAGCAGGTACGGGTCCCCGGAGCTCTGGAAGCCGCAGATGACGTCCCTGAGCGAGAGGAACACCCTGCGATTCTGCCAGCACCTCCAGCAGCGCTGGATCATCTCCGTGGCCTCGTGGATCCCCCAGTCATCTGTCTCCGCGGCTAGCTGGCCTGGCGTCAATGCGCGCTGCCCGGCGTGCCTCTCCGCCTCCCGTGGGCCGAAGCGGCGCCAACGCCGCTGGATCTCCGTGGCGGCCACCTGGTAGACTTTCATCCGCGTGTAGGCCACCACCCGGTGCTGCCTCCGCACGCGGGCCCATGCGCGCCAGAAGGCCTGTATCCGCAGCGCGCAGAAGTCCTGGAAGGTCTTGGCGCTCTGCCTCCTGCCGAGCTTGCCCACGCCCGCGGTGCACTGCCACTTCAGCAGCTCCAGGTGGCGCCGGTGCATGCTCCCGAGGACCTCTGGCCGCGACGCCCGCGATGCCGCGGCGGCCCCGCCAGCGGCGCCGCCGTGGGGGCGGGCGCTGACAGCGCCAGCGTCTGTGGCACGCTGCCTCAGGGGAACGAAGAATAGCATAAACATGAAAATCGGAAGTCTGCGCGGAGCTCCGAGCTTTTTCCCCACATCCAAAATGGGGTTCTTGTTTTCTTTGGACACCCTCCGCGCAGGAACCTCCCTCCCACTCTCCGCCTCACTCACGCATTCACCCCGTCATCGGTCATCACCACCATCGGTCATCATCATCATCATCATCATCATCACCACCACCACCATCATCATACTCAGTTGCTCACCATAGATCACCATCACCATCGGCCATCGATCGTCATCATCAGCATCACCACAACCGCCATCATCATCATACTCAGTCGCACATCACACACACACACCCTCTGTCTCATCACTCAGCATAATTTCCTCTGGACACCCCGCGCAAGAACACACCACCACCACATCATCCTCCTCCTCGTCATCAATCATCACCAGCATCATCACTCGATCACTCATCATCATCATCAACAGCATCATCATCATCATCATCGTCGTCACGATCATCATCACCACTCATCGTTATCACTCGCTCACTCATCACTTCGTCACCACTCACCCCCTAGCCTGAATACGGGGGAAGTCTCGAGAAGGAGCGTCGTCTGTGAGTAACTTGTGCGGACTTCTCAGGCGGGAACCCCCTGGTTCGCATTTCATGTTTTCAATCCGGCCGGGTCATCCTCGAATCAATAACTGTCGTCACTTTTGGGTCTCGGAGGCCTGACATTGGAGGAAGTCTCAACCGGGAGGCGCCTCTGTGAGTAAATCGTGAGGACGTCTCCGGCGGGAGCCCCCTCCCTATGGGGTTCGCATGTCATGTTTTTAAATCCGAACGGGTCATCCTCGAACCTGTAACTCTCGATACTTTTGGGCTCCTGACGCCTGAATATGGGGGAAGTATCAAGCGGGAACCTCGTCTGTGAGTGAATTGCGGAGAAGTCTCGGGCGGGAGCCCTCTCCCGATAGGGCCCTAATTTTATATTTTCAATCCGAGCGGGTCATCCTCGAACCTGTAACTGTCGTCACTCTTGGGCCCCTGGGGCTTGGATCTGGGGGTAGTAGTATCAGGCGGGAGGCTCGTCTGTGAGTGAATTGCGAATAAGTCTCAGGCGGGAGCCCTCCCCCTATGGTGCCCGCTTTTCTGTTTCTAATCCGGGCGGGTCATCCTCGAACCTGTAACTGTCGTCACTTCTGGGCTCCTGAAGCCTGAATATGCGAGGAGTATCCAGCGGGAGGCTCCTCTGTGAGTGAATTGCGAAGAAGTCTAGGGCGGGAGCCCTGTCCCTATGGTGCCCGCACTTCACGTTTCTAACCCGAGCGGGCCATCCTCGAACCTGTAACTGTTGTCGTTGGGCTCTTAAGGCCTGAATCTGGGGAAGTATCAGGCGGAAGGCTCGTCTGTAAGTGAATTGGAGCCCTTTCCCTATGGGGCCCGCACTTCATGTTTCTGATCGGAGCGTGTCACCCTCGAACCTGTAACTGTCGTCACTTTTGGGCTCCTGAGGCCTGAACATGAGCGAAGTATCAAGCGGGACGCTTGTCTGTGAGTAAATTGCGCCTCAGGCGGGAGCCCTCTCACTATGGGCACCGCAATGTGTTTTTGGCCCAAGAAAAGAATCCGAACGGGTCATCCTCGAACCTGTGACTCTCGTTACTTTTGGGCTCCTGAGGCCCGAATATGGGCAAAGCATCAGGCGGGAGGCTCGTCGGTGAGTGAATTGCGAGGAAGTCTCAGGCGGGAGCCGTTTCCGTATGGGGCCCGCACCTCAGATCCCACCAGCCCTTTGGGCGTGAGTGGTTTAGGGAGCCCGCTCTGTTCTCAACCCCCTTCTTCCCCTTCGGGGAGGGGTTTACCCCTCCCCCTACCCCCTCCCCCTGGGCCTGGAGAGGTCCTTTCGCGGGTCGTTGGAGGGGTCTTTTTCGACTCCTGGGAGGGCTAAAATTCGACACCCCTCACGAGGATCGTGGCCCCGAAGGGGGGGGGGAGAAAAATGCTCGCCTCTTCTTTGAAGCCAAAATCATTGATTTTACTTAGGTTTTGGCCCCATTTTGGCCTTCTGCAAGAAGCGCCCAGGAGGCACCAAGAGGCCCCAAGATGGCCCCAAGATGGCCCCAAGAGGCCCCCAGGAGGCCCCCAAGATGATCCCAAACGGCCCAAAGAGGCCCCCCCGAGGCACCCAAGACGCCGAAAAGCCCATCAGGACGACCCTCTACTCGCCTGGCCGTCGTTTCTGGACGGGCTGGTGGGGATACGCGAAGCGTAAAGAATTTCTAATCCGAGCGAGTCATCCTCGAACATGTAACTGTCGTCACTCTTGGGCTCCTGGGGCCTGAATATGGGGGAATTATCAGGCGGGAACCTCGTCTGTGAGTGAATTGCAAGGACGTCTCAGGCGGGAGCCCTCGTATGGGGCCCGCGCTTCACGTTTCTAATCCGAGCGGGTCATCCTCGAACTTGTGACTGTCGTCACTTTTGGGCTCCTGAGGCCTGCATATGGGGAAAGCATCAGGCGGGAGGCTCGTCTGTGAGTGAATTGCGAGGATGTCTCGGGCGGGAGCCCCCTTTCATGGGCCCCGCACTTCATGTTTTTAATCCGAACGGGTCGTCCTCGAACCTGTAACTGTCGTCACTTTTGGGCTCCTGAGGCCCGAATATTGGGGATGTATCAGGCGGCAGGCTCGTCTGTGAGTGAATTGTGAGGAAGTCTCAGGCGGGAGCCCCTTCCCTATGGGACCCGCGCGACAGTGAAGGATATTTCCAGATCAGCCGAAAGGATTTGCATGTGGGGTCTTTCCGTCGGAATAGTGATGTTCATGTCATTCGTCGTTCCCCTAAGAGGAGGAGGAGGAGGAGGAGGAGGAGGAGGAGGAGGAGGAGGAGGAGGAGGAGGAGGAGGAGGAGGAGGAGGAGGAGGAGGAGGAGGAGGAGGAGGAGGAGGAGGAGGAGGAGGAGGAGGAGGAGGAGGAGGAGGAGGAGGAGGAGGAGGAGGAGGAGGAGGAGGAGGAGGAGGAGGGGGAGAAGGAGGCCGCGGCGGCCTGCTCCAGCCGCGGCCCACGCCGGGCCGCCAGGCGCCCCACCTCAGCCAGCTGCCGCGCCACGCCCGCTGGAGGCGCACGGCGGCGAGCTGCATGGCCGCCACCGGGAGGCGCCACGGCCGGCGCAAGAGCTCCCGCCTCCACGCCGCGGGCCGGGCGAGGAACCAGGCCACGCCGCGGGGTCGTCGCTGGACCTCCAAGGAGCAGAGAGGAGGAGCACGAGCCTGCGGTCTCCCCAGGCCTCGGGCCGCTCCGGCTTTCGTGGGTGCGCGGGCCCTTCGTGGGTGCGCGGGCCCCAGAGGTCTGGGCCACTTCCCTGGGACGCACGCGCCCAGCTGTGTACACGAACGCGGCCCCTCGATCTGCGAGACTGGCCGCGGTGTACGAACATCTGCTCAGTGCGTGCTCTCGAAACCAGCGTGGATTCATGTACGTGTACGTCCTTCTTTTGCTCCTGACAAGGAGCAGCGAGGAGGAGCGCAAGCCTGCGGTCTCCCCCAGGCAGCTGGCCGCCCCAATTTTCGTGGGTGCGCGGGCCCCAGAGGTCTGGGCCACTTCCCCAGGGCCGGTTTTGCGTCCTGAGCTGCTTCTTGACGCTCCCGAGGCGGCGAGGGCCCACGGAGGCCGAAAATAGCCCAAACCCCGCCGCCACCATTTTTCTAGGGCGTCGGGCCTCTGGGCTCCGAACCCTCCCCACAACCCCACTCTGACGAGCGGATTGCGCCCGGGGTGGCGCCGGAGACGACGCCCAGGGGTGGTGGAAAGGGGAAGCAGCGCCGACCCTGGGGATCCGCGCGGACCTCCGATGATAACTTTCCCCAAACGATGCTTGCACTTGGGGTGGCTTGCGCCTTCCCTGCCCCGAAGCAAATTTGGATCGAGATTCGCGAGCTTCTCGCTCTTGACGTGGTGCTGCATGTGTGGTGCCCTACGGCCGATGCCCATTGATTCATTGAAAATCGCGATTGCCTTGTTCTTGTCGGCGTGTACTTGCCCTGGAGCTCCGTGAGCGTTGCTCCATGGCTGGTGCACAATGATGCCTTCGGGATCTCGATTTTCCCATTCGTGCCCTGCTGACCCACACGTGGTGTCTTGAAGGTCGCGATCTGCTCGTTCTTGCACTGGTGCCCTCTGGATATTTGTTTTATGACTGGTGCACTTTGACTGCGATTCTATACTCCTTGCCCTGGTGCCCTTGGGGCGCTGCTACATGGCTGGAGTCAAAGCAATGATATCTGGAAGGTCTTGGTTTTGTCGCGATTGTCCTGGTACCCCGTGAGTGGTGCTCTATGCCTGATGCACTGTCGTGCACTCAAGGTTGCGATCTTCTTGTGGCTGCTATGGTGGATTATGGGTGGCGCTCAGTGGTTGATGAACTAGCATGCCTTGAAGCCAGCGACTTGCTCGAAATTACATTGTCCCTATGGTCGGTGGTTGTTGTGCCGCCGCACCATGACGACGTGAAGACAACGATGTGTTGCTCGTGCCATGGTGTTCGCTGGGTGGTGCTCAATGGCTGGTGCCATTCCGCGCATACAAAATCGTTCTTGCCTTGAGGCCGTGTGGGTGGTGCTCCATGGCTGGCGACACACGGCGCCTCTGTAAAATGGAACAAATGGTCATTCGACTGCCCTGGATACCCATGGGCGGTGTTCAATGTGTGCGAAGCAGAGCGGAGCGCAGCGGCGTTGGGCAAGGCGTGGTGTTCAATGTGTGGGGCAATGTGAAAACTCACCAATGTAACCGATGCGGGTGAGATCGGAACCGGCCCAGAAAAGGAAATAGACATGCGCACAGGTTATCTCTCTCTCTCTCTCTCTCTCTCTCTCTCTCTATCTATACATACATATGCGTCTACATATAGCTGTATATATACGAAGATACATAACTATATATAGATAGATAGATTTACATATTGATCTCTACATTTAAAAACTGAGTCCCGCGAGAACAGTCCTGCAGACCTGGAGCGAGATGTTGCTTTGGTACTCTGTGGGTAGTACTCTGCGGCTGGTGCGCTCGAATGTGTCCTGCATGCCGCGAATTGATCGTACTTCTCCTGATGCTCTGTGGGTGGTGCTATATGGGTGATGCACCGTGACGCCTTGCAAGTAGCCTGCTACTAGTTATTGCCTACATAGTTCTCTCTAGGTGGTTATATATATAGCGATTTTCCCGAACTGGTGCGCTGAAGGTTACGAGTTGCTGGTTCTTGCTCTGGTGCCCGTTCGACATTGCCCTGGTGTTCCATGGGTGGTGCTCTATTGGCCGATGCACCACGACGCATTGACTGCCGCGTGGTGCACGTACGCCCCCAATGTTCTATGGGTGGCGCACTACGCTGAAGGCTGAAACAAATCACGCGTTTCCCCCGATGCCCTATGTGTGGTTCTCTATTGCTGACACCTCATTGCGCCTTGCAGACTTGCGCATTGAAGGCCGTGATTGTCTCGTTCTTGCGTCTTCACAATCGCAACTATCTCATTCTTGCCCCGTTGCCCCGTAGGTGGTGCTGCGCTGTGGCCGGCGCACGATGATCGATATAAGAGTCAAGAGTTGTTCAGCATTCCCTTGGAGCTTCAACGGGCGGTACTCCGTTGGCTGTGCCCTGCGATGCGATAGACAGTGCATGCTGCACCACCCAGACTGCACGGCACAGGGCGCACATAAAGGTGGGGGAGCCCAGATCACCTGACTTCACGCCTCGCGCCCCGCGCTGCGCGACGCGCGGCTATCTTTGCGCCCCCGAGAGTCCGCCTTGAAGTAGGCTCCTCTTCCTCCTCCTGCTCCTCCTCCTCCTTTTCCTCCCTCCTCCTCCTCCTTTTCCTCCCTCCTCCTCCTCCTCCTCCTCCTCCTCCTCCTCCTCCTCCTCCTCCCCTCCCTCCTCCTCCTCCTCCTCCTCCTCCTCCTCCCCCCCTCATTTTCCTCCCCCTCATTCTCCTCCCTCCTCCCACATCCTCCTCCTCCTCCTCCTCCTCCTCCTCCTCCTCCTCCTCCCCCTGTTCCTCCTCCTTCTCCTGCTCATCCTCCTCCTGCACCTCCTCCTCCTGCTTCTCCTGCTCCTGCTCCTGCTCCTGTTCCAGCTCCTCCTCCTCCTCCTCCTCCTCCTCCTCCTCCTCCTCCTCCTCCTCCTCCTCGTAGCTCTCCATCAGTGTGCGAAGCGCGCTTGTCTTGGCGCCCCTGAAGGTCACCTAGGGCCTAGGGAACCTGCTCTCAGGGGTCCACGGCTGCGGTCATGTCATCATGGAGAGCAGGGCAGGCTTGCACAGACGACCACGTCGGAGGTCCGCGCAGCTTGCTCGGATCGGCGCTGGACCACCCTGCCTGGTGCGCAGTGCACGCCGGCGCCGCCACGGGGGGCCCAGCGCCGATCCGAGAGATCTGTGCCAAGCTGCAGAGTGCGAACAGCCATCGTGCTGCCATGAGGAGCGCTGCACACAGTAGGAGCTCGGCCACAAGACACCTTCCACAAGACGCTTCCCATAGCAAAACCATCGAAACGAAGCCCAGGAAATCCAGGGCACCCAGAAGGCAAGCGGGGTGTTTCTTGGCGTGGGCTTCCACTGTAAGGAACGAAGGGGTCTTTCTGGCCACGACAGGCCTCGGTCCCAAACAGGCTCCCCGATCTAGTTCTAGGGCGCGGTCCGAAACCCAGAGCCCCCTCCTGAGCCGAAAGTATCTGCACAGACTGTCTGTCTGTGCAGATACTTTCTCCTCGGATTCTGCCAGTTCCAGTTCCGTGCTCGTCGACACACCTGCAACTGCAACTCGGCTGCCGCCTCGCTGGGCGCGGCGGCCACGAGCGCCAGCGACGAGGCCGCCTCCGAGGCCTCCGGGCGCGCCGAAGGAGAGGGTGTGTGCGCTCATTCGGCGGTTCACACAGGGGGCCCTGAGGGGTGGGGCCTCTAAAGTGCAGGGCTTCAATCTACGTAAACTCAACACCTATACTCCCTTCCTATCCTTAGAGCCCCATCCCTGAAAGCCCCATCACTGAACCGCCGAATCATGGCCCGAGGCATGTGCGCGGACGAGGAAGGTGGCCAGAGAGCGTGCAGAAAGCTCGAGAGTAGGGGGCCACGACAATCGGGGCCACACCGTGGAGGCCACGACACTCGGGGCCACGCAACCCCCTGGCCACCACTCCCCACCTCTTGCACTGGCTTTGCCGAACAAAACGTTGACGGCAACATCCGTCCTGCCCGCCCCGCCCCCAGCCCCAAATGGAAGTGGGCCCGAGGGATTGGCACTCGGCGGCCAGCCCCACCAACGTTGAAGGGGGGAAGGGGGGCCACGAACCTCATGGCCTCAGTGCGACCCCTCGCAGCGGCCCGGAGACGACCACATGACCCCACGCCCACTTCCATCTGGTTGTGTGCTCGGGAGGGTGGCAGATCTTGGCCAACCCGCAGGACCCTCGGATGCCTGGGGAGCAGGAGGGCGTCGAAGCCCTCCTGGCGTTTCGGGAGGGCTGCCGCCTCGCAGGACCCTCTTGGCGTTTCGGAAGCTTTCGGTTTGGGAGGCCATTGGGAAGGGGGTTCAGGTCTTCGACCCCCCTCCCCGTGTCGGGAGGGACAGCCTATCCTGAGATCCGACGCCGCGAAAAAGCTGCAGCATGAAAACTCGACTGGGGCCCTGGACCCAATCTTACTGCCACAGTTGTCGAGCAGGACCACCGCGGCAGCTTCCCCGCTTGAGCAGGGAACGACCGTCCTGGCATTCCTGTGGGCCTACCACGAAATTCTCTTCAAACCAAAACATGTTCTACGAACAAAACGAATTCCTTAGAACGCATGAGCGAAATGTGTTAAAACAAGACGGCCTCAGCGAGACACGCTCGAAGAACATTTCGAATAAGCCACCGAAGGTCCTTAGAACACTACAGGGTGGGCCCACAGGCAAGCCAGGACGCCTCGAAACTGTTCGACCCGCGGGCCGCCACCGCGGCGCCGGGCGCGGCGGCCGCCGCGGGGCCGCTGCCGCGGCGGCGGCCAGGCCGCGGCCTGCCGTTCGCGGGCCGCTGCGCTGGCGGTGACGGGCCGTCGCCAGCGTCCCAGGTGCGCCTGCGCCCCGCGTGTGCCGCCTCCGGAGCGGGCGTGGCAGCACCTCGCCGCCGCGGCCGCAGGGGGCGCGGTGCGCGGTTCGGGGCGGGTCGGGTTTTTCCTTCTCCGCCTCCTCTTCCTCCTCCTCCTCCTCCTCCTCCTCCTCCTCCGCCGCCGCCGCCGCCGCCGCCTCCGCCTCCACCTCCGCCGCCGCTTCCGCTTCTTCTTCGCCCTCCTCCTCCGTCTCCTCGCCTCCTCATCGCCTCCTCCTCCTCCTCCTCCTCCTCCTCCTCCTCCTCCTTCTTCGCGTCCTCCTCCTCCTCAACTCCCTCCTCCTCCTCCTCCTCCTCCTCCTCCTCCTCCTCCTCCTCCTCCTCCTCCTCGTCCCGCGGGTCGGCAGGCCAAGGGGGGGCGCGGTTCGGGTCGGGCGGGAGGCGAGGTGACCTCCTACCAAACCCATCCAACCGAACCTGAAGTCCCACATTCTGGGTTGTGGGGCGTGCGGGCCCCATGGTGTGTGTGTGTGTGCGTGTGTGTGTGTGTGCGTGTGTATGAACATGTTTTGGGATGTGCCTCCATTGGGAATGGAGGGCAGCTCGGGGCCTTCGGGTTGAGTTGCGGTGGTTTGAGGGATCATGACGAGGGGGATCATCAGAAGGGGGGAGCACTGGACACTGCGCCTCCTCGTCCCGCGAGACGGTCCTACACTCGGGGCCAAACTGTGGCGCTGCGGCGCCGACAAAACTAGAATCATGTGCGGGAGAAAAGGAGGGAGGCTGAAGTGCCGGCCAGCCGATGCATTCATCCTGTCGCTGCCGCTGCCGCTGCACGAGTTGCCCCTCCAATTTTAGACCACAACACAAGGGGGGGGGAACCAACTCACCTGGGGCTCCCAAAACGGTGCGGTGACAGACCGTGCAATGACCTCGAACTCCCCAACAACCTCGCCGCGCGGCTTTGGGAATCTAGAGGCCTCAGTCGCCCGAGACAGCCTCGAATAATGGCCCATATCCCGAATGTGTACGGTTACCCCGGCTCACCACTGACTTACCACACGGTGTGGTCACCGCACCGTTGGGGCCCCCCCGACTCACGTGGCTGGTTTGTCGGGCGCCTCCAAGCGGCAAAAAGCGCCGGTGTGTCAAAGAAAGCGCCCGGCCTTTCGCCAAGCCCCCCCTTCCGTCCGGCCTGACACGTTTCTCCTCAATTCCTTACACCTTCTGCAAAACCACAGAGGGCTTCTCAGAAGGCGGCTCGCCCAAGGAGGAAAGCAAAATGGGCGGGCCTTCTCGAAGGTCAGAAGGCCTCTGGTCTTCTAAGAAGTGCCCTAAACCTTCTGCAAGGCCGCAGAGGGCTTCTCAGAAGGCCGAAGGCTTCTGAGAAGCCCCGCCGCCTTCTGAGAAGGCCTGCCCCCGCTCACTTCCCCCCTCGTCGCGCCGCCGACGAGTGGATCACTTAATTTTGAGCGACCGGTGGTATTCCGACAGCACACATTGTCCAATTTCGGACGGCATTGAGCCAAAAAAGGCGGTCAGCTTTGGACGCCCGTGGTTGGGTCCCCGCCGAGCCAACCTGGCGCGCACCCAGTGTAGCCCACCCCACCGCTCTCTTCGCTCGCGCGCCCCAGAAACCTGGACTCAACGTCAAACGGAAGAGCGCAGGGCAAAGATGCACGTCCCCAGACGCCCGAACAAAAGCCTTAGACGCCCGTGCGGTATCTACCGGCGGTGACTCCAAATATGACAGGGTGGCTGCGCATGAGCAAAACCTGCCAAGCTCAACTGAACTAGACAGGATTGGTCTGGACCTGTTTGGACTGATCTCTGCAACGCCAATTGGATTCGCTGCGCTGGACTGAGCTTGACTGGACTGGCATCGCTGGGCCGACCGGAGTGGACTGGGATCGCTGGTCTGACACTGGTGGAGTGGACTGGGCTGACTGACTTGGACGGGAACGGTCTGCACTTGACTGGACGAAGGCTGGGTGCGAGTGGACTTGCCCGAGCAGGTCGCCCCGCTCTGGCGGCGACTTTGGCGCCTTGGGCGCTTCGATCCTGGTCAGGCGAACTGTCGCGCTCGCTTGCGGCCTCGTCATCGCCACCATCGGCCAGCCCGTTGCCGTCTGGGCTTCTGCAGACGCCACGGGTTCTCGTCTGAACGGCAAGGGTGCGGCATGCGTCCTGAATCCTCCTACCTCTGGATTGCGTCCCCCTCCTGGCGCGTTGCCAAGAGCGGAATGCCCATGAGGTCTTAGCACCTGTACACAACATCGTGGACGGCCGGCAACACTGCCGCTGCGACCTGGGGCGGAATACCGAGTGGAGACTCAACCTGCGGGAGGTAGGAGAAGCGGAAGAATGGACTACGTCCCCCTCTTCTCCCTCCTCCTCTGCATCCTCCCGTACGGGTCTGCGCGCGTGGCTGCGCGTGTGGCTGCCTGTCTTCGGGGAAGATCAAAATACACATAAACATGAAACTCACGGCGCTCCGCGAAGACCTCTTGGATCCGCGCTGACCCCCCTGGCGTCAGGAGAGGCGAAGTTCAGACGGGGTAACAATCCATACCGGGAACGAGCATTCCGTATGGACCTACTCCGTATGGACTTAGCCTCTCCTGATGGCGCGCGGAGCGCGCCACGGGCGGCGCCGGAAGCGCCGACAAGGGACTCCAGCACAGATCCAAGAAATCCGCGCGGAGCTCCGAATGTAGTTTTTTTCGTTCTCGATGCCTCGCGCGGTTGCCTGTGGCTACGTACTGCTGCCCTGATGGCTTACTTGCGAGGCGGGGATTTGTTCATATTCGTCGCCTGGGAACCGACGTTTTGGGGACCCAGCGGACGGTGATTGTGTAAGTGTCTTGGCCCCCGGGGGCCAAACTCTATCCGCATCCACCGCCTGTGGAGGTCCGCGAAAAAATCGATCCTCCCGGCGGCGGCGGTTACGCACAGAATCCCCACCTCGAGCTGCTGCTCCCCGGGCCCAGCTTGGGCTCCCGGCGAGGCAGCGCAGGCCTCGCTCGGGCGCAGCGCCTGGGCTACCGCCTCCCCTGGGCTCTCGGGCTTCGAGCGGCGGTCCCGGAGGAGGCTTCGCGGGGCTGCCTCGTGCTGCGCGTGGCGGTGGCGGCAGTTTCCACCCCGAGGGTCGTGACGGTCTCCTCCTCCGCCTCCTCTCCCTCCCCCTCCGTAGGAGCATACAAGACACAAACACCAAACGTCAGAGGTCCGCTCGGATATCTTGGGGCGCCTCCGCTCGCCAGGAAGAGGTGTGGGGAGGGAGGTCCGGCGCGGACTCGAGCAACCAGCTGGACCTCCAAAAGCTCATGCTCGTCTTCAGTGCGGGCACGGCCGCAAGAACCCCCCGCAAGAAACCCCAACCCTGAAAATCAGCGCGCGAGTTGCAACTGGGGGGGAACCCGAGGCACCCCGAGTGAAGCAGCTGGACTTGAACGTCCACAGAAAGTCACCTCGCAGCGATCGCGGCCCAGCCCAAGGCCTGACGAAGAATCACATGGTCTCTTGATGCGCGTCCACACTGCACCGTGATGGGGAACGATACACGCCGGTCGGGAGAAGTGGGTAGGAACATGAAGTAGGAAGACGTTGGAAATAGATTGGGCTTCCGCCCGCCCTCCTGATCCAGCGGCCCCCTTGCGAGGCCACCAGGCTGCGAGGATGAGGATTGCAGCTCCCTGTTCCACTTGCAGCTTCCAGTTTCCACTGTTACAGTCCTGCTTTCTGCTTCCTTACTGTTAATTGTTACTGTCCGCGCGAGGAGTGGGAGCCCCAAACCATCTTTTCTTACGACGCCCAAATCGCGGTGTCTCAAATCCTGGGGGGGGGCGTGGGACAAGTGAAAATAACTGATATTCGCGTCCCAGAGGCCATAATCCCTAGCAAATTACGCTAAATGTGCGTCCCTGAGGCCATAAACCCTTTCAAATTACTCAACACTCGCGTCCCCGAAGCCATAGTCCTTTGTTATACAATATTCGCGTCCCCGAAGCCATATACCTTTGTAACTTACCCGATATTCGCGTCCCGAGATCATACACCCATGTAAATTACTGAGTATTCGCGCTCCCTTGTGTCCCCGAGGCCACAACCCCGCACAACTTACACTAGATTCGCGTCCCCGAGCCAATAAAGCCTCGAAACTTACATTATAGTTGCGCCCCTCGAGGCCATAAACCTCAATGAATTAATCAATAGCTGCGTCCCCGAGGCAACAAACCGTCGTAATTTTTACTATAATCGCATCCCAAAAACCATACGCCATCGTTCATAATCTAACATTCGCGCCATCGAAGCCATAAACCCTCGTCATTGCTTCACGTCAGCGTCTAGACATCCCAGCACAGCTCTGGCAAGTTCCATTCTAAGAGAGGGGGGCCGGCGGCATCGGGGCAAACCCCTTTACGGATAAACAGCAATACAACATGCACTTCGGGGCTACATCTGGATCATGCGCGGCCACCCCGCGATAACTGTCAAGTCGTTTTTGATAGGGACGGCGGGGGTGGTGGCATATGGCCTTCTGCGCGCAGGCCCACCAGACACACTGATGGGCATTGGGTTTTCGACAAGGATGGTGGGGGCCGACATGTTTCCCGATGTGTGCAGTCATACATGCGCAGTCGCACCTGACGCACTCTGCACATGCCTCGAACGTGGCGCAACTGGCGCGGCTGGAGTGTGCGGCACACCTGTCGCACTCGGAGCACGTGGCGCATCTGGCGTGCCTGGCACGCTGGGGCCCCAGGGGTGCCTGGCGCACGTGGCGCCCCTGGCACGCGTGGCGCACCTCGCTCAAGCGTCGCGCACTTTGGGTCGGCGTTGGTTCCCAATAGCTGTCCATCCAAAAACGACCGCTTAATGTGCTCTGGCTCGGGTGTTACTTATATAAGCCGGACGGCTTGCGGGCGGGTGTGTGTGTGTCTTGATCATTGCTCCATATTAATATACACCCCCTCCCCCACCTGGCCGGCGGCCAACCAGGAACCATGCCGACCCCTTGCGTCCCGCCACTCACCATCCCTGAAAAAAACAATGCAAACCGCACTTTGCC